TGTTTCCGAACTGGCTTCGCCAGTCTGGTTGATCAGCAAAGCCGAACGACCGATACTTTGCAACGTGAAGGTCCTTGCTCGTGGCAAGCTCCTGAGGCTCAACCCTGGAGGCCCAAGAAAACAGCCCATGAAACGCTTCACCAACAGCTTTTCGAAGAGAGAACTCAAACCTCAGGGTAGCATTCTTGTGGAAACTCGTGTTGTCCATGCAGTCTATCAATTGGAGGCTGTGGCATGAATTCAGGCTGCGATGGCACAGAACTTGTGCTCTAACCTCAAAGGTGCAGGTTGTTACTAGTTGTTACATTGGGTGGATCGGCCTGACTTTCGTGCCACTAGTCTGCAGCCCTTTCAACAATGTCATTGCCAGCAACGAATCTCAGCAGTTTGCTGGTCAAGAGAGATGTGCACAGAGCTGCGAGGAACAAGAGGAACCTCGGCTTGGCAGTCTCCGTGCACACAGCACAGGTCTTGGTCTTGAAATGACTGGACTCTACGACCGTGGCGCAAAGAGCCATACAAAGCTTCACTGGCAAGAGAAACGCGGCGTCGCAAGCTTGACACCGCGCGCGAATTCCTTTGAAGCGTGCACGCCGGGTTGCGCACTTGGAGCTTGAGTCATTATGGGTGGCATCCATGGCACGGGGGGCGCTTCACCAGCACCGCTCAATATCGCTACATTCAGATAGCAAGGTGCCAGTACATTCTAGAATGGGCCACAGTGCTCAACCTCAGCAACAAGCAGTGCAAAAATCAGGCACAACTTCTCTTCGCCTCAGCCAGAGCTTGCAGCGCACGTGATCAAAGGCGTGCTGATTCATTCCCGGCGAAGCATGCACGTGGGCTATTGTTGGACAACCCCCCCCCCCTCCCCGCAAATGGGGAACGTCACCCAGTTTCACTGACAACGATTCACAGTCAAGCCCGAGCTTGAGGCCAATTTAGGCCATCGTCAGCAGAGCAATGTCCCGTGAGTCCCTGCAGCACTGCGGCATGGCGTCGACAGTGATTGCCATGCTGGGCCATGCTGATCGAGACACCTTGAAGCCCTTCTGGATCCTTCTGCGCTACACTGCCCAGGATTGTGCAGAGTCCAAAGCCTTAGCCACACTGAGGCCCAGGCGCGCAGGGTTTCACCGCGCGGCGTCGCAGAGCAAAGCCCACAAGACCGTCTGACGCACAGAACGAGAGGCTTTGGTTGAGCTTTTGGCAGGGATGCTTTGTGAACGCTGCTAAAATTTCTTCACTGCGACGTGAAGAGCATCAAAGCTTCAAGAGGCAGGGGGCACCTTAACTCTCTCGGCCTCAAGACCCCTAAACCCTAAACCCTAAACCCTAAACCCTAAACCCTAAACCCTAAACCCCACATCACCCCCCACTTGGGCTCCCCACAGAGCGCGCCCACCACGCACACGCCCGCCAGGAGCCGCTCTCCAGAGACGGCCTCCGAGGAGATATGGCTCTTGAAGCTTACTTGGGGGGCCCCCCCCCCTAGTCGATGTGAGTGGGTGCTTTGGTCGTTTTATGACACTTGCTTCTTTTTGGGATTATAAGTGGGATAACATAGGGTCTAGAGCTCCGGGATCTTCACTGCTGGATCGCACGAGAACAGCTGGCACTGCGGCAAGGACTTCGCCAATTCGGGCCCCACCTTCGCTTTCGGCTCAGCAGGTGCAGACCTCTGCTCACTCGGATTGGTTCTCAGAGAAGAAACGTAAGGGGCAACTTCATGACACCTCTGCAGAAACCCGTAGAAGACACAAAAATCCCTCCCGTCGTCGCTCAGAAAATTCTGCTGTCGCACCTCTCGACGAGGGACTCTGGAGCCTGGAGAGCATTGGACCACACCAACAAACTCGTCCCCGCAAGGCACAACGCGCGTTCTTTGGGAGGATGTCTTTCCCTGCCCTACTAGTATCTGCCCGATGAAACAGCATCAAGTTGGCGTGGCCTCCTGTTTGGCCTCGGTTGTCTGCTTGGCTGGCGAGGCCGTGTCGGCAGCCTGTCCCACTAGGTGAGATTCAAAACAATAGCTGCTGCCTGAATGATCAACTCGCCGCAACTAGCCTGCATAACCACAGGGAAGGACACCCCTTGCTGGATGTCGTAGGATCAGCTGAAGTGTACCAAGCCGCAGTGATGGCATCAGGTGGTGATTCTAAGTTAGGTTCCGACCGCTTTAACACTGGAGCCCTCTCATACAAGGTATCCGTTTACACCAGGCGTCGCGAACCTGGGACAGGATGCCCCGGAGCAGCGCGCGGCGCTCTGCCGTGCGATGGAGCGAGGCCTGCGGACGTGAGAAGCTCTCGAAGCCTCAAACCCTCCAAAACAAAGGCCGAAAACCTGAACCCCTGAAACTTGAGCTGGCAAAGCTTTGGGGCTTGGTGCTTTCGCGGCGGCCTTAGGGCTGTTTTGTAGGGCTCCGGCCATGGGGCCTCGATACTCTGGTACTGGCACTTTATGGAGCTGGGCAACTTGGCGCCTTGCACCTTTGCACCCTTTTTTACACCTTTGCACCTGTGCACCTTTGCACACCTTTACACCTTTGCACCTTTGCATTGGAATCTGTGAGCCCCAAAACCAATGGCAGCGTGACTTTCAGTTGCCTTACACACATGGAGGTTTACGAAAATAAGGGACCCCTCATACAGACCCCAAATGGTAGGATACCCTTACAATGAGGACCCCAATAAAGTACCCCTACTTTCGGAAACCCCCACATTGCTCGGGGTTTTAACTCTGACTCTCTCCATCTCCCTGAACTCCGCCTCTGCCGTGTGCTGCGTGGCTTCGCTGAGTGCGGCTGTCAGCGACCTCAGGCGGGGCACGGACCCCATCTTTAGGGTTTAAGCTTCGGGTTTAGGGCGCCTTGCATCGAAGCAAACGCAAAGCTCAGCTTAAATATCAGGCTGCGCAGCCACGCCAGATGTTGCAAATCACAGCGATTCAACTTGCCGCCTCGTCCAATCTTCGCAATCACTCGGGCGGTGGGTTTTGCAAGCGTCTGGAGCTTAGGGGGCCATGTGAGCGGGAAAACAACCCGGCTGATGCTCATGATGCTCGCCTCCTGCCTCCGTCCTCAAATCTGTGCAATCACTCGGGCGGTAGGTTTTGCAAGCGTCTAGAGCTTGAGTGGGAAAACAACCCAGCTGATGCTCATGATGCTCGCCTCCTGCCTCCTCAAATCTGCGCAATCACTCGGGCGGTGGGTTTTGCAAGCGTCTGGAGCTTAGGGGGCCATGTGAGCGGGAAAACAACCCAGCTGATGCTCATGATGCTCGCCTCCTGCCTCCTCAAATCTGCGCAATCACTCGGGCGGTGGGGTTTTGCAAGCGTCTGGAGCTTCTGGGGCCATGTGAGCGGGAAAACAACCCAGCTGATGCTCATGATGCTCGCCTCCTGCCTCCTCAAATCTGCGCAATCACTCGGGCGGTGGGTTTTGCAAGCGTCTGGAGCTTAGGGGGCCATGTGAGCGGGAAAACAACCCAGCTGATGCTCATGATGCTCGCCTCCTGCCTCCTCAAATCTGCGCAATCAAATCTGCGCAATCACTCGGGCGGTGGGTTTTGCAAGCGTCTGGAGATATGTCTGAGCGGGAAAACAACCCAGCTGATGCTCGTGATGCTCGCCTCCTGCCTCCTCAAATCTGCGCAATCACTCGGGCGGTGGGTTTTGCAAGCGTCTGGAGCTTAGAGGGCCATGTGAGCGGGAAAACAACCCAGCTGATGCTCATGATGCTCGCCTCCTGCCTCCTCAAATCTGCCCAAGTGCTCGGGCGGTGGGTTTTGCAAGCGTCTGGAGCTCAGGGGGCCGGGAAAACAACGCAGCTGATGATCATGATGCTCGCCTCCTGCCTCCTCAACTCTTCGCAATCACTCGGGCGGTGGTTTTGCAAGCGTCTGGAGCTTAGGGGGCCATGTGAGTGGGAAAACAACCCAGCTGATGCTCATGATGCTCGCCTCCTGCCTCCTCAAATCTGCGCAATCACTCGGGCGGTGGGTTTTGCAAGTGTCTGGAGCTTAGGGGGCCATGCGAGCGGGAAGACAACCCAGCTGATGCTCATGATGCTCGCCTCCTGCCTCCTCAAATCTGCGCAATCACTCGGGCGATGGGTTTTGCAAGTGTGCTTGTGAGCTGTGAAGCAAAGGGGAAGTGTTTAAAAGCATAGCTTCCTGACAACGAGCTTGCCCCTTCAAAACAATCTAGCTTGGATTTGTCTACCTCAGATTCAGATCAACGAACTGTTCCTGTAGAAGGCACGACATGAAGTTCCCACAAACATCGAACACGCTGCCTACGGATGTTCTTGCCTGCAGACGGGCGACTTCCCCAGCTGTGTCCCAGCCTCTTTGGCTTGCTGCGCAAGCTGCGGGCTCTTTGCCTGGAGGACAGCGTCTGCCATGCAGCCAAAAAAAACATGTTACATTGGGCCACGATTTGTACTAGTACCATAGACCCTGCCACAAGACTTGACCGGGCGAAAAGCAGTCACGAGGTCCGACGGAAAGCAGATGGCGCAGCGAGGGCACTGTGCTAGCTGAATTGAAGCTACTTCATTCTGCTTCTGTCACAAGGAATCCCAAAAGCTTGCACCGAACGGCCGGAGGGCGTAGACACAGGCTAATGTTAAGCCCAATCCCGCAATGACAGCGAGTGCAGGGCACCTGGTGCTCGATGCCAGCAACCCAGCTCTTCGCACCCTGGGCTCGCGATGTTCAGCTTCCGGGGAGTTGACGGAACTGCCCTGTTACAGTTAAGCCCTAATGATGCTCCTTGCTTGCAAAACCCTGTGCCACCAGTCGGCCATACTAGGCCCCAAGATGAACCACTGGAGTTTCATCGTATGCTGCAACTCTCAGCCCCTAAACCCTGAACCCCTAATACTCAAACCCCATGACAGCCAAGGATCCCTCCCTCGGCCCCTCAACCCTAAACGTCGACTTCTGAACCAAACCTTCAACCCTGAACCCCTAAACCCTGAACCCCGAGAACCCCGATTAAGGAAAGGGCCCACAAGCCCCCAAAAGCCCCTGATAAACCTAGGAAAACACCGAACCAGCAAAGAACCATAAAGAATCATCAAAGAACCGCAGAGAACCATCAATGAGCCACCAACAGAACAAGTATAAAAACACATAAGAGAACCATAAGCGAGCATAAACAAACCATAGCAGAACACAAAAGAACCTCAAAAGACCTTCAAACAGCCCACCAACAAGCCAACAAGCCCCCCTTCAGGGCCGCCTCCAGGAGCTGGTGCTTCGCCTCCGTCGCGCGCTCGCGCAAGGCGGCCGTCTCGGCCACTTGGAGCCTGAATGCCCAGTGGAGAATCCGTTCTGTTTTGGGGTTTGGGGTGTAGGGTCTAGGGTTGAGAAGTGCTGTTGAGGGAAGAGTTTAGGGCGTAGGGCCCTCTGAGGTTTTGATTTAAGGGGTTGCGTTGTGCTTTCAGGGCTTGTAGGTTTGCAGGGCAATCATCAGAGCCTCCGTTGCCAGTGGCAAGCCATCAAGATACCATCTGCTGCTGACCCAGAATGACAGCCCCTGAACAAGATGTCTTGCACAACGTTTTGTTGGCTTCTACAAAAGAAGGCCCGAGCGCCCTAAAGCCGAACTACAGACCCGCGCCTGCTGATTGCCTCGGAAGCGCTGCGACCTGCATTCTCGAGCTCCTGAAGGGCTGGGATGAACTGATTTGGGAACCGATTGCAGCATCAGCCCACGTCGAACTCAAGGATGGTAGACCTTGACGTTCTGCTGCGTCAGCGGCTCTTGGGTGACCCGCCTGGCGAGAAAGGAAATGCCAGTACATCTGCATTGGAATGCACATTCGGATCAGAGAGGTGCTGTGATACGTGCAGATACCAGAGGCAACGCGTTGGAGGCGAAGCTCAGATCAGGGCCTACTACAGAACTCTACATATACTCTCAAGATGCTGGGTTGAAATAGTTTGCCAACCACCACCTGAGCTGGGCCATGGCTGCTTGCAGCTCCTCGCGGCATATCCGAAGGTCCGAAGGAAGCAACAGATCAGAGTCCCGGAGTGTCCTTCGCGCGGCGCTTCGACTCGTCGCTGGCAGTGGAGCGCAAGCCATGCCGACGAAGTGTCCACTGGGCGTAGGCACCATCCTGATAGCCAAGGGATGCGCGTCGCCAGTGAGTCACGAACTGATAAGAAAAATCCAAGGAGCCTAGTACAGTACTGCCGGTCATGATGCTTAGGACCAGGTATACAGTTCGACACGCGCGTTGCGAGCATCATCGATGCGCAGGCGGTTGTCGATAGCCGTGTCCTTGGCCGCTTGCTGCAGCTGCTGAAGGGCGGCCACCGCCCGCGCCGCCTCCTCTGCTGCCTGCACTTCCGCGCTCACAATGGCCGGGTCCTTCGCTGCTGAGCTTCTTGCGCGTGTCTGACTCTCTAGCGGTCAAGTACGTTGCAAAATGTTGTACACCGGCTGTACAGTGGGACATTTGCGGCACATGCATATGTCTTCACGGGAAGTCCTCCTGCAGGGCATGTATCTCAGGCTGCTCAGCAGGTGGAAGCTGGGGCTGCATTGGAACAGACGGCATGGGAAAGGTCCGATCCTGCACAGCGGTGGTGTACTGTGTACTTACGAGAATTCGGGCCCATGGTGGCGCAGCACGCTCATCTCCTCGGAGCCCATCTCAGGCTGTGCAGGACCTGCTCCGGTTCCTCTGGTCTCCTGCCGACAGGCCAGAGCAGCGCCATCTGCCCAACAAGCAAAGCATGTCCGAAGTCCATGTTAGTCGTTCCTGGTGCATCTCGGCTGCAAATGGCCGCGAGGGGACAGGGCTCTCCTCCTGGTGACCAGGGCGTTGGCGTCAAGTTCTCGAACATCAGGTTGTATAATGCATACACAAGATCATGGAACGTCAACAATCAGCCCGTACTTCGTTCAGGCTTCCTGGAAAGGCATTGTGGCAGCCAGCGAAACGGCCTTCACAATGGGCAGGCTGGAATTCTGGGCTGCAACGCAGCTCAATCTGCAGGCAGGATGACGATGCAAGAACACTGCGCCTTCGCGGACTTGTCAGATTTCTCGGACCTAGGATTATGGTGCATGCGTCTTGTTTGGCCAAGTATCTGGGAGACTACTGGCAAAGGCCAGACCTGTGATGTTGTCCCCTGTGGCCCCTACCCCCACCTTCCCCCCGTGAACCCTTAATTCGCCTCGGTACCCTTGCCGAGGCGGCCTCGCGTTAGCGTTAAACTATATGATTCGCAACTGAGCAGCATGAGCAGCAGGAGAAACAAAAAATGAGCTGCTGGATCGAGACGAAGACAGGCGCTATGCAGAACACTGTGCAGGCACTATTCGACATTGAGTCATCCTGAGGTTCTGGCTCCGACTGTGCTTGGGAGTTTTGCGGCAGCCAATCGCTGGCCTCCAGGGCTCTCTGAGGCCAAGGAACAACAACGCACAGCCTCCATGTCATGTCGAGTCTGTGCACGTGGGGCTGGCTCGGATTGCGGCATAGTCCCGCATGTACTCAGCGAAGTCACCAACTGAGCCCATCTCCATGCCTGGCCAAAGGCAAGGAGAACTCGACAAAAATTGCGCATGGTGCATGGTCTTGGAGGCAGCAGTGCTGGTGCACAAAAGTCAAGAAATCACTGGTCATAATCACAGCACAAACATTTGCGGCCTCCACTGGCGAACTCTTTGCCTTCGTAGCTGAATGCATTGTGCCTCCAGCTTAGTGCCGCTCTGCAAGCGTTGGCAAGTTTCGGCATCCCAATCTGCAGCTTCGTCCGAGCCGAAAGTCCCCTTTCGCCACAAACCTCGCGCATTGTAAGGGCGTGACCCTCCCTCATCCGTGGCATACTGGGTGACCCATGGCCTGTCAGGACTTCGCATGGAGCCGCTATTCATCACAAGCGACAGCAGTGGAAATGCTGAGTTTTCTTCTGACATCTGTCTGATTCTGGGGGGCTAGGACCTGAGGGAAAAAAGGATGGTGACGGCCTCTCTCTCCTCTTCTTCTTCCTCTTATTCTTCCTCTTCTTGTTGCTCTTCGTCTTCCTCTTCTTCTTCCTCTTCTTCCTCCTCTTCTCCTTCTTGTTATTTTCTTTCTCTTCGGCCTCTCGTCTTCTTCTACACGGGGGAAAAGAGACGCTTTGGAAGGAGGCCCCTCGGCCACGATCCTTCCTTCCTTACAGCGCCCAAGACCCCCCCGAAACAGGGCCGCCCCAAGGCGCCTTCTCTATAACTCTCTCGCCTTGGGGTGCGCAAGTCAGATGGGGTCCGCACTGCGCAAATGGCTCATAGCCCACTTGGCCGCCGTGTTCGTAGAAATGGTCCTGCAAAGCGGATGCTGCATCTGAAAAAATGCCAGGCGTGGCATAGCTGCGAGACTGCAAGGTACGGTTTGGACCCAGCTTTGGGCTTCCCAGGCACTCAGATGCTTTCCACTTCGGTCCTTCGGACCACCTTGAATCGGTGTAGCATGGCCCCAGGGCAGCCCTGCGTCCCACTAGCAACAGCACAGCAGATCAAAGCAGATCACATACCGTAGGCGCGGTTGTAAACCTAGCCCTTCACAGCCTCGATCCCACAGGGCACTCTAGCAAACAAGCCCTACATGCTGTACATGTCGCAAATAGAACACACGCAAAGTTACGCTTACACGAAACTCTGATGCAAACCCCAGGCCTCCAGGGCTTTTCTGGCCACCTGCGCAGACTCTGATTAAGGCCCTTGACGTGGCCAGCTCCCATTGCTCCGATTGCTCCTGCCTCCTCCGGGCACCATGCCACCGCCACCGCCGCTGCCGCCACCGCCGCCGCCACCGCCACCCTGGCCCATGGTGCCTGGAACGCCGCAGAGGTCTGCAGGAACGCGTGAAAACTAACAGAAAATTCCGTGCATCCTCGACTCCAAAGCTACCTTGTTCCACGATCGTATCACCAGGGGCTTGGGAGTCAGGCGCAGAGGAGTGCCGAACTGTAGAGTGCTGAAGCTGTTAAGGATGTTTGTTCCTTCCCTCACCTAAGGGCAAAGGATCTATTGCCGGCTTTTTGCATGCTCTCTTAAGGAACTGTCTGCAATGAATTCACAAAAGGAAACTCGAAACCCTACAAGCCCTACACCCCCCCCAAACCCGCCATAAAACCCTAGCAGACAAAGCCTTGGCCCACGCCGTTTCCGCCACTCTCTGCACGCTCCTCCGGAAAAAGTCAGGATAACGTAAGGACATCCTACAGCGTATACAACGCGTACTAAATATTCAGAAGTAAGGTTATAAGTACCCTAGATATAAGTATAGTTACCATACTTGCAGGGCAGGGTGTTGAGGGTCTACTTGGGGGTTCTTCGGGTAGCTACATCGTCCTTAATCTGGGCCCCTACAAGGGGACCCCTCACATAGCCGTGTCATATCCCCTTTCCATCCCAAGGGCCCATACTTCAGAACCCTGTAAAGGCGGTGCCAGAAATTGCCCTTGGAGGCCCGCTTCATGAGGCCCAGGTGTGCCCCAAAGGGCGTATTTAGGGTTTTTTTGGGTATCTTGAAGGATACTTGAGGGCAACAGGCCGGTTCGGGTTGCTGCTGCTTTGGGATACGGATGCCACAGACGCCCACACTTGAATGGATTGATAATCTAATAATACTCTAATTATATCTCATGAGATATCGGCTGCCTTTAATCTGAAGAACCGTCCGCGAGCCTTCCAAAATGGCACACATCTTTCACGCAGCTGGCAAGGTCCGGTGGCCACGCGGCAGGTTTTGCGGCGTGGAAGGCTCGTCACGAGTGGAATTCGTCTGATGCTTCAGTCCCATCTTGGGACTCGCACAAACTCGTACACTGTTGTGACGGCGGGCACGTTTTGTGCCGGCCTTCGGCTCGGGCACTGCCAACCCCGCCATACCCTGCCCCACGCGCTTGCCTGACTCCGTGTATATGTTTCTAAGCAGCTGTTGCTATAGGACGATTATGCGGCAAACTACTGTAACAGACGCTAACCGCATACAAACACCAAGGACGTCGACGACAGGTGGCAGGCCGACTCATGGCCTACCTCTGGTCTCTTCACGTAAGACCTCAAGACATTGAGCTCGCACTCCGTCACTTCACGCCTCGCCGGCATGTTTCGCGACGGGCGCCATTCACGAATTCTGCTGAGCCTTTCTTTAAAACTCTCCCATCTGATGCTTGTCCCATCTTGGGACACACCAGAACAAGTAGCAGTTCCTTGGATCATGTTGGCTCGAAGTGCCCCAACCCCGCTGCTTGCCCTACAAGAACAGGCCAGCAACGTGCTAATACTTCGCAAAGAAGAGCCTGAGAGTGTCTGACATGCTACCCCTGCGGATCAGGCTCATGGGCCAGCCCTTGTCCCAGCGATTTCGCGTGGGTTCCTCAGACAAACTCCCAAGTAAATGCAAAAAAACAACTACGACATCGTGCATTCCACCGTCGCTCACGGAAGTTAGGGGGTTTAGTTTAGGGTACATGGGTCTATATTGGTGAACGCCACGGGGCATAGCGGAATGTGTCGAACTTGTCGTTGAATTCTTCGATGTCCAGCTCTCCCACCCACTTCGAGGTGCCCGCCCTAAGTGCTCAAAGAAAACGGATGCTCACAGTGCTGGCTCACGAGCCATGCCCACTCCACGCACGCACACGCACACGCACACGCACACGCACACGGCACACGGCACACGGCACACGGCACGCGGCACGCGGCACGCGGCACGCGGCACGCGGCACGCGGCACGCGGCACGCGGCACGCGGCACGCGGCACGCGGCACGCGGCACGCGGCACGCGGCAAACAGCGGCACGGCAACGCGGGCAACGCTTCCGCTGCATCGCGGCTGAACGCGTCACGCGGCACGCCGGCCCGCGGCCCTCGGCAACGCGGCAACCCGCGGCCGCGCACGCGGCACGCTCAAGGCGTCGGCGGCAACGCGGCACGCGGCACCCGCGGCAACTCGGCACGCGGCACAACGCTGCACGCGGCACGCGCACGCGGCCGCGCGGCACGCGCACACGCCAACACGGCAACGGGCAACAACGGCCAAACGGCACGCGGCACACGGCACACGGCACACGGCACACGGCACACGGCACACGCCCGCGCACGCGCACGCGCACGCGCACGCGCACCCGCACCCGCACGCGCACGCGCACGCGCACGCGTACACACACCACACACACACACACACACACACACACACACACACACACACACACACACACACACACACACACACACACACACACACACACACACACACGCACACACGCACACACGCACCCACACACACACACACACACACACACTTTTTGTTTTAGTGCTTCCACATAAACTGGTAGATGGAGATGCTCCGAAGGTAGAGATGCTCGAGCAAGAGGTAGTGGATGAGCCCGCAAGTGATGAGGTAGAAGGGTCGCGAATGAAGGTTTATATGACATATCATATAGGGTTTAGGGTCTTCTGCAATCAAAACATGCTCCATACTCGCTTGACATGCTCCCACAACTGTGCTCATCACGCTCAGATGCTCCACAATTCATGCTCTGATGCTCCACAATTCATGCTCACACAACTCTGCTCATCACGCTCAGATGCTCCACAATTCATGCTCTGATGCTCCACAATTCATGCTCACACAACTCTACTCACCACGCTCAGATGCTCCACAATTCATGCTCTGATGCTCCACAATTCATGCTCACACAACTCTGCTCATCACGTTCAGATGCTCCACAATTCATGCTCTGATGCTTCACACTTCATGCTCCCGCAACTCTGCTCATCACGCTCAGATGCTCCGCAATTTATGCTCCGAGATTCCCCATTTCATGCTCACACAATTCTACTCATCGCGCTCAGATGCTCCACAATTTAGGCTCAGAAGTTCCCTACTTCGTGCTCACACATCTCTGCTCATCACACTCAGATGCTCCACAGTTCATGCTCAGATGCTCTAACACTCATGTTCCGAACCTTCTCCATGCTCTCATCCATGTTCATGCTCGTTCGCTGGACATGCTCCATCAACATGCTCAAACGACATGCTCACGCAGTTCTGCTCAGCTGCTCTGCTGTGCACATCACACTAGTTAGCAGCATCACATTCCACTCAAGCTTGATGGGTTCGAGGTCTTCTGGGGTTTGGGGTATGTCATGCTCACGGCTCGAAGAATTCACCCACATGCCAAGCAAAATACGAAATCCATGTTGAAAACTGCGTTGTGGTTGAGGTAGTTGAACAACAGCGAGAACGGTACCAATGCACAGCGAGGATAATGCAGTACATCACATATCACTGCAGGTACACACCCAGGCGTCCCTGGATGCATCACCACCTTGATCAGCGTCTTCGTTGGCAGGAGTCTGATCAAGGTGCTCCTGCCCCCTGCTGAAAATGACATGCAAGTTTCTTGTTGGACGATAAATTCGTGCTTCTTTTCGATCTCGTACGCAGTGCTTGTTGACGATCCCGCGTGTACAGCGGTGTGCCACACACACACACACACACACACGCACGGACACAGAGTGAGACCTGCAAAGAGAATAGCAAGAGAGTGTAGCCAACTGGGAGCACCACTCCAAATCGTCCACGACGTAGTTTAGGTCGTCTTTCCACTCGTTCGCCAGCTCATTCCTCCAAGCACGCAGTCACACAAAACATCACAAAACTGTAAGCCATGAGATCGTCAATCCAGCACGGGGTGCACGGGGTGCACGGGGGTGTCCTCGAAACGAAGGCCACGTGCAGGCGCACAATCGGGAGTAGACCATACGCAAATACCACAACGTAGGTCAAATGGGCAGCCTCGTCTTCACGAGCGAGATGCAACGAGAGCCAGAACTCGAAATGCATCACTGCAGAACTTCTTCTCACTGTCGAGCAGTTTCAAGTGGTGTGAAGATTTCTGGAGCCCAGGGGCCAGCAAGCACTCCACGACCTGGGATCCAGCTGCTCTCAGCTTCGCATGCTTGACAAAAAGGCTTTCGGAAGCTCTACGCCAGGAGCCAGGGCCCGGGCCCAGTGTTCGGGGCGAAAGAAAGCGGCGAGGAGGTAGACGTCCACGATCAAGCCTCAGTTGGCGAACGACGGACAACAACGGAAATCGTCCACGCAAACTGACGGATGCGCTGCAATGACATGCTTCTCGGATTCGGAATGAAACTAGCCAAGCAACTTCCCGTCACCATCACAGTGAAGACCATCAGCAGCATGAAAAACTCCTGAGCCCAACGCTCTGATGGTTGCCCCGGAAAGGGTCCTATGTAGTCACATAAGGGCAGCTCACTGTCAAGCCTGTTAAGCTCACTGTTAAGGCAAGCCGCGCGGTGGTTGTATAAACCGATGCCGTTCAGTAGCCATCTGCAGAAATGGTCGTATCCTCGGATTCCGGGCATGCGGCCACATACGCCAGATACACACAAGAGCTGGGCTTCATGTGTATTGCCGTCGCCGGCCACGTCCCCGCCACAATTGCAGGGCAAGGGTCTGCGTATGCGGCGCGGGAACCTCGAGAGAGCACCCCCCCAAAAAAAAACTGCAACGGAACATGGGATGATCACAAGGGTGACGGAGATGGAGGATCACGACAATGCCGAGGGGCTGTGAAGAAAGGTACGACCGCTCGATGGCTAGGTCCGGATACCCTTCCGGAACCATGCCTGGGTCCACTTGGCTGGCGAAGGCCATGAGACCTGCAGGCGAAAGGCAATCAGCTGCCAGGGCACTGCACCGAAAGTCGGGAAGAACGAGCTCCGGGCCGAACGCCAGCACAAAAGGCAGGGCCACTCCAACACGCAGAGCGTTGAGAGGGCCCATGCCATTCTCGCCTCGTCCGAAACATACCGGGCTACAATACGTCCAGCCCTGTACTCGTATGTGCGCATGCGTACTATCGCATGTCATTTCTGTCATAGCTACGGGTCTCGCATGCTGCTGTGTGACAGGGCCGAGTCACTCAACAATGGGCATTGGAGGAAGAACCAGCACGTGGCGCTGGACAGCAGGGACACGGTGAGGATGACCGGGAGCAATCGAGGGTCGATGCTGTCCCAGCAAGTCGTATTTGCTGCTGGGGCCTTCGCAGCGCAGCTCGCGACGAAACAGAAAACGCTGCTCAAGCACCTGGCCTCGGTCTCCGTCTTGGCGGACGGGGAGCCCATGTCCTCCTCCTCCCCCTCCATGAACCGGATCACCTGCAAAAACTCTGCAGCACAGCGGAGCCTCCACATTGACGCGGCTTTGATTGCAAGGGTTCGCATGGGGGGCCGCCAGAGGGCCTCCTGCACGTCGCTTCTCGTGCGAAGACGGTTCCGGTTCCCATTGTTTCCTGCCGCAGGGACACGAAAGGATCGAAATAACCCGGGAAGGTCAGCCGGCCTCGGTGTGTCCGGGAGCTTGGGGAATCAGGCCGTGAAGCGCTGTCGATGTCCTGTGGAGGGCGCAGGATGCGCAAGGGGGAAGAACCCGGGCAAAACGCCCAGGGATGTCTGTGCCTGTCCATGTGCCGCAATCTCGTGGCATTCTTAGGTGTGGACATGTTGGGACTCAAGTTGCAGATGCACAGCTCGCAGCGCTGGCCCGCAGAGGGTTCGTAGAGTTTGATAGTAGATTGTTGAAAAGATAAGGTTCAGCCTCGTGCTTTGCATACCTTTGTACCTTTCGCCAAATGCACGCGTAGCTATCCTGAACACTGGACATGGGTTTCCAGCACTGTAAAACAAAGTGGGCGAGGGCATCTCTGAATTCAATTCGGAAACAGATAGCAGACACGTTCGCCCGCTGCCTAGCGACTGTACACTTCTGATGATGTCAGTTTACATGCCAACCACCCCTCTGTCATGTCAAGCACGTGCAGTCTGCCCCGAAAATAAGCACCGATCCCTCCAGTCCCTGTATGCGCAGCAGCACCCACACCTCGTTGAGCTCCGCCGAAGTGGACAGCAGCTCGTCTGAATCCTCACTTCTGGCATCGGCGTGCACTCTGCTGTGAACCTATCAGACTCCTTGTAATAACGCCCTTGCCTCACCTCCGTTCTGCAGGGTTTTGGGTGATGCATGGTGATGCTGTGTCGTTCCGAGGTGCGCTCTCCACAAGCTGCTGCTGCTGCAGCGCTAGGAAGCAAGCAGAGGCCATGGCTATGAAGGAGAGGGCAAGGAGTCTCCAAATCACTCGCACGATCTTGAGCTCAAAACAAGCCACTGCGCAAAAGTCGCTCCCACGGACGCGCAGCAGCGCAGGAGACTTCCATCTCTCTCGTGTCCTCGGTGGCTTTCTCGGCAAAGTTCTCGTATGGCCCCGGGATGTAGGTGTCATAGGTCTGCATCATGGACCTTGACAAGGACGTCAAGCACCCCCGATGAGCTGTCAGTCCGGCATTCTAAGAGTCTGAATTCACTATGGACTCCCACCTGGCTTCATCACATCTGTTGCATGGCATGTCGGCATTCTGGGAGCCCCACTTGTTCCACGCACTGAGCTGACTTTGCCTCAGAAAAGGCTCCATCTGATGTTGCAGCCAGTGACAGCTAGTGAGTAGTCCTTCCCTTCCCTGCTCACAACACGATGAAGCGCAGCGTGAGCAGAGTGCAGCAAAGTCCCCAAGAGGTGCAGTACTGCTTGGCTGAGCCTGCTTTTCACCTGCATGAAGCTGTACAGACTGCACTTTGCTGCACTTGGCAGCACAGAGAAGCAAGCCTGACGGGCAACCTGTACAACTGAGCAAGGCTGCAGGCCCAGTCAGGGACATTGTCTTTGTCCAGAACAATCCTGGGCAGACCTACGAGGACCCCAGAGATCGGCGCCGTTCCCTTTGAAAGAACCGCCATGGCATCACGTGGCCGAAGCACATTGCGCTGTACGACTGCCAAACTTTAACTGCGTTCAGGGTGCACAGAAACCCCTACAGAAACCCACAGCGGTCAGGCAAGGATGTCGATGTGCCTTCAGCACGACACCTTGGCTGGCACTTGAATGAGCAGCTCACGAGTCGGTTGATTCGGACCGTGGAAGTCTGGGGATTTGCCGACGCGGGTGCGAGCATCTGTACCACTGCCAACTTGTTCGAGAAGCCTCGCACGCCCAGTGGGAGCTTCATCCAGACGTGGTTGCCCCAGCGTCCGTCCCCGGTTTCGGTTCTGGTGGCAGGTCAGTCACCGTCCATCCTCCTCGTTTGTGCATTCCTGCGGATGCAATGATGCAATGATTCAATCGTGCGAAACATACCATTTCGCTTGAGACATCTTTGTGCCTATTCGGGAAATCGGGTACCTTCAACCGATGTAACACAGCCAACGTGTTGGGGAAGCCTCGCACGCCCAGTGGGGAATTTCATCCAGAGGTGGTTGCCCCAGCGTCCGTCTCCGGTTTCGGTTCTGGTGGCAGGTCGGTCACCGTCTAGGGATTTGCCGACGCGTGTGCGAGCATCTGTAACACTGCCAACTTGTTCGAGAAGCCTCGCACGCCCAGTGGGGAGCTTCATCCAGACGTGGTTGCCCCAGCGTCCGTCCCCGGTTTCGGTTCTGGTGGCAGGTCGGTCACCGTCCATCCTCCTCGTTTGTGCCTTCCTGCGGATGCAAGGATGCCATAGTGCGAGAAATGCCATTTCGCTTGAGACACTAATCGGGAAAGCAGGTACTTTTCAATTGATGGGGTGTGCAAATGGCTTTCCCTCCGACCTGTCTGCACGATGTCTCGCAAAGCCTGGTTTAGCTCCTAAGAGTAGCGACTTCGCTTCGGAAGGTTCGGCTCCCTCTCCGTAAGCGCTGATTTCTCTGACTGTGCGGAGCTTGGTTGCTACGACTCAAATGTTTTCACCAAACGGCCTCCCCAAGCCTGAAACACATCGAGGTTTACGATATTAGGGGATACCTTTATTAGGGTCCTTATTATACTGGGATCTTGGGGGTCTAGAATCAGGGACCCTTATTATTTTAGACCTACCGTAGGCCCCAGATCCCACCCTCCAAGCGAAGCAGCGGTCCTGTATCAGGCGTGAGCAAATCCGCCTGCACATTGGATCGTTTGAGAGATTGCTTTCGGATTTCGGGTGTCAAGAATGAAGCGCTCGGCTTACGGAACAGGCGTGCCTTAGCGATGCTGTGAAGGAACTCGACAGTTACTGTCTCGTCCTTGTTCTTTGGCATTGGAAGCGTCTCTTTGTCCTCGTCCTTCTTCTTCGGAGTTGGAGGCTCCTCTTCGCCCTCGCTGTCGTCAGTGTGCTCTGAACCACTTGATGAAGCGTAATCATCGTCGTAGTCGTAATACGAGTACCTGCAACGTCAAACTCTCCAAAGCATCATTTCTGCATGTTCCGCTGGCTTCAGTGTGCGATAGGCATGCTGTGTCGTGACATCAGCGTCCTGGTGGGTCTGTGCTGTTCGGCGGTCTTCTTCGTGGCGGTCCCCTCGAGGCAAATTACCTCCATGCAGCATCCGGGCCAGGTCTCACGTGTCTTGGACTGGCTTTGCAGCCAGAGATAAAAATGATGGGAGGGGATGTCTCTGATGGAAACTGGAACATGCTTTCACTGCTTGATGGTGCGATACAGCAACTCTTGGCGCCACACCAGCACCCTCTCTCCCTCCCAGCCTCTTCGAGCTCCCCCTTGTCCTTTGAGGCTCCTCAGCACTTCTGATGCGATGCTGCTCGGAGTGAGTCCCGTCAAGCCCCTCAAGAACCTTTCCCTTCAACAAGATGCATCGAGCGGAACCTCTGCAAGCTCGAAGTGACATGCAAAGGAAAGAATCCCAAAATCCCTGGCGTTACGGCCCTAAAGCACTCAAGTCAGGCTTCGCCGGTTCAGCCGCCAAGTGCCCGACGCTTCGATCGTCCTTTGCATGGAACGTCATCACAGCTCGTTGCTTTTAATGCTTCCGCCTCCCTTTAGGAACTGTCTGGCAGCTTATGTGAGTGTCCGCCCTGCCACAATACGACGAGAACTTGTAGGAAAGGTACCCCAACGAGCTTTCACTGAATGCTTTGAAAAGAGCTGGTCGTAGTTGTACCCGCACTCGGCATCGTGGCTGTGGTAGTGAGCCCGGTAGCTGAAGATGCCACCTAACCAGCCGCATGTTGGCTTTCATGCTAAGCAGCAGACTCAAGCTTTGCAACCCCGAGTCTTAACACATTCACGATGTACTATGATGTACTCCTACATGCACACACTTCGCCGCCGATGCATGCATCATCATGTATCACCGACTGCCGAGGCTTGACAGACACGTCGTTTGACTCGTTTGACATGGGGAAACGACATGCCTGCATGAAGTTTCACGACGACGTCTTCCGAGTCCTCCTCCATGCCACAGTGGCGACCGTGAATCCAGAACTGCGTCGGCTGTGGCGTTTCAGGAGTCAGATGCGGGCAGACTGGGTCACGCTTCGTTCGTCGCTTTGTGGGCGCGGTTGTGGGAACTGAAATTTCGCAAGGCAGCCTGACTTGACTTAATGGACTGAATTCGCAGGGACACTTGCCTTTTTGAAGCTCTTGTTTGCGCACCAGTCAGGCTCAGCGTTCCTCAGGTGACAGGCAGCTGCAAGCACTGAATGCCCACGCCTAAAGCCACATCAACTGGGCCTTAGCGGAGAGAAGCAACCCACCAAAACCTCTGTGCAAGTGGGGGTCCAGGGCCGGCGGCTTTAGGGATGTGGGGAATGGTAGGGATGTAGGGGGCTTCTTTCAGCGTCACCAAGCTGCACTGCAGCGATGATGCTTTGGCTTGCCAGCTCCCTTGCCGTGATCGTCTCCTGGCTTCCCCTTAAACGAAACAAAAAGGCGCATGGGAATGAAACCCTAAAATATTCCCCCCTTAAACCCCCCGTTCTAAAACCGCCCCCCTACAACCCCAAGAATGCTTGGAGGATGTTTGGGGGGGATGCTGGGGAGAACACTCCTGGAGTGGCTCTTGGCCGCCTTCCCCATGAGAGGGCAGGAAGAACAAAGAGGGCCTCAGGCGGATCCCCGAGGGGAGAGTGATCTCTCTGAGGGTTAAAACAAAAACGGGCGTGCGTTTCGAGAGACTGTTATATGGAGGCTCTTCTAGGGCATCTACGAGAGCTGTTGTTGCTCCTTTCTTTGCGAGCCTTTTTTTTGGGGGGGGAGTTTAGGGTCTTGGCGTTTCGTCGGGTTTGACCCGGCGAAGCTGGGCCAAACCAGAATCCCAGGCCCCAGCATCTCGTCCCCCTTCAGCAGGCCCAGCTTCATGCCGATCTCCCGCTGCAAGGACCCCAGGCTCGATTCCTAAAAGGAAAACAGAAGGCGAATTAGTCTTCCTCGGACACTCGCGTCCTCAGAAGTCAAACATCGGTCAAGCATCAAAGACACGCGCAAAAAAAAGGGGGGGAATCGCAGACTCGCATCCCCAGGGCAGGCGATGGAGGCGGCAGTGCCGCTCAGCAGAGACACCTGCAAGAAGGGAGAAGCCAGGCCAAGGGCCTCAAAGGAGAAATGGGGAGTTTTTTTTTTTTTTGGGGGGGGGGGGGGGGGGGGGGGGGGGGGGGGGGGGGGGTGAAGGGGAATCACGAGGCACTCAAGCCCCTGAATTTGCTGAAAGAGGTCGAGAGTTCTGTGCCCGCAGCAGAGGTGGGATGCTTACATGCTGGGATTGCCTGGGTCTGCGCCCTGACAGCCCGACAGTGCTAGGGATCTGCCTCAAAGGTAACGTCCGCTGCCGTGTCGTCAGCCATTGCTCGACAACTAAGACACGCTTGGCGCACGAAGCCGAAAGCACTGTTGCAATCAACTGGTCAGGCTAATGGCTGCTTCTCTCCAAGCAGTGGTTCGCACACATGGATTTGACGAAAATAGGCCCGCAACGGCACTTGCAGGTCTCAGATGCTCTGGGTTCTGAGAACAGGACCCCTTGCCCGTGTAGTTGTTGCCAGAGGTCACCTGCGGCCCTGCCATGGAGGCGTAGAGACCTCACACCAAACCTACAAGAGCACAGCAAGATGAAACCCAAAAGGAAATCCAAGAAACTTGGGGGAAGCATTCGGACTTGGAACCCTCAGCTCTGGACTGACATACTTATCGTAGTCTGCTTGCGGCCCACCATACCTCTGCATGTGGTGGAAGGGCGCAAGAAGATGCGCAACCTTTCTACATCTGCTCTCTCGTGTCGACGTAGTGGAAGCCGCAGAAACTGTTCACTGCTTTCCGGACGATGGATAGGTTCAAGCAAGGGTCACAGACCCACCCAAAAACCGCGGGCACTGTTTCAGGTACTTGTTGTAGTCCGCAGCTTTCCCTGCGGCTTCCAAGAGTATTGTGAAGTCCGTTCTGTACCCATCTATCATGTAGACACTTGCATCGGATCTCGCAGACATGACACTTGGAGCCCCGACCACTGAACTGAGTCATGTAATGCCGCCAGGACCTCAGCGCCCCCGAAACGGAGCCCAAGCAGAGGGGGTTGAATCAACACATGTCAACACCTCGCAGCGCCGATCAGTGCCGCGATGCGCCCCGTGCTTCAGGGCTCCGCTCAAGATGCCTTGTAAGGCATCACACAAGGCTCTGGCGAGTTGCTCCCGACCCAGTCGTCGGTGTAGTGATCATCACCTGGTGGGAGGTAAGACCTCGACCAACGATGGAGGGTTTTCTTGCATATGTCACGACCGTCAAAGAGGACTCAGCACTCTACAAGTCACTAAATGCAATTGAAGCTGAACTGCCCCCAGGCCCTTGTGCCCTTGTGCTGAAGGCGTGGCTTCACGTACTTGTCGTTGAAGTTGTTCTGGGCATCCTCTCTGAATCTTGCGTAGTGAACCAGCCAGCTTTGAGAGTTACCCCAAGCTTGAAACAGCTGAATGCACTACGTCTCCCTACCATCGAGATCCATCTAGTAGGCCTTCCTGGATTGCCTCTTTGGGACATGCGTGAACCCTGGACCGCCGCGGGAGTCCTGGCTCACCGCGGGCCTTGCCACGAGCAGCCCTGGGCCCAGGGCGCACTGGGTTCTATCAAATCCCCCGCACGGTCACAAAAAAAAGTAGCTACATTCCAAGATCTGCTTCGGCTCTCAGTAAGCTCTGAAGAATTCGAAACAACCGCCTGGTCGTCTTACCGAAGTGTCATGAGTTCTCACGAGCGAGCACGGAAAGGCTGGGCCTGCAGCCACCAGAAGCCATGCCATTTGTCCAGATCGGTTTCTAAAGACTATCTCGTCTAGCTCTTGTCCCGATGCAACACTGGAGGTTGGCTTGGGGCCGTCGGAAGCCACCCCAGACACCGCAAGTTCCGGTATGTGTGTGTGTGTGTGCCATGATCATGCTTGCAACATGCCTTGTCCAGAAAATTGTTACAGAAGTTCTGAGCCTGAACTGCGGGCCAAGCCAATCTATGCTTCGCCAAGGCTCCCGAGCTCGGCACTCCCCCCCCTCCCCTCTAGAGGCGGAGCATGCACAGACCAGCCGATAGCCGAAGATCTCTCTAAGTGGTGGCTTGGCTACATGGCTCCGTGCTTGTTCCCTCCACTCGCGTTCGCGAGATGCTCCTGAAACTACCGCTGTTCTTCTACGATCATGACCCCTAAACCTTGCTGTGTGACCAAATGGTGGCCGTTTGGCCACCATTTGCTAGGACTCAAAATCTCGCCATCTGGCGAGGAAAGATGGCAGAGCTGCAAAGCCTGCAGCTTCTGGGAAAAAGCCGCGATCAGTATGCACGTAGCTGCGCAGCCGAGCGGGCGGGACAGCGGGAAGGTTGCAAATCATCTTGCAGCAGAACAACCTAGCTGTTACATAGCTGCTCCGCAACAATTGCGGAAGCATGTTCGGTCCCAGTGTTGATTGCAAAAACCCTCCTTCCTAGCCGTTCCGGGCCGGACTGGTAACATACGGGAAGAATATCAGGGTAGGCAAAAAGGAAGGGGTCTTAAATTGGGATACACATAATCCACCGGGTGGGGGGATGGTGACGGCCTCTCTTCTGGTTATTCTTCTTTCTGATTATTCTTCTTCTTCCTCTTCTTCTTTTTCTTCTTCTTCTTCTTCTTCTTCTTCTTCTTCTTCTGCTTCTTCTTCTTCTTCTTCTGATTGTTCGTCTCCTTCGGCCTCTGTTTTTCTTCTACACAGCGAAAAAAGACCGTCCGGAAGGAGGTCCCCTGGCCACGAATGGTCTCTCTTCATTCCTTCTTTCCTCCCAGTCCTCCCAGTCCTCCAGTCCTCCCAGTCCTCCCAGTCCTCCCAGTCCTCCCTTCCTCCCATCTCTCGCGTGTCCTCAGCGACTTTCTCGTCAATATTCCCGGATGGTCCCTGGATGTAGGCGTCATAGGTCTGCATCATGGACCTTGACAAGGACTTCAAGCACCACCCCGCTGAGCTACCAGTCCAGCACTCTCAGACTTGTAAATCAGTCTTGCCGACTTCCGCTAGGCTTCATACATGTCTTCACATTTTCAAGCTCTCGGCTCTTTTCCCGTTTTCCGGAGGCGCTGCGAAGCTTCTCAGAGCTAGACAGAGTTGTGCACAAACACGTGTGACACACCAAAACACTCGTAACAGCTGCAGGACTGGAGGGCACGAGGCGGATCTCGCGTGGCATTTCGGCATTCTGGGAGCCCCACTTGTTCCACGCACTGAGCTGACTTTGCCTCAGAAAAGGCTCCAGCTGATGTTGCAGCTAGTGACAGCTAGTGAGTGGTCCTTCCCTTCCCTGCTCACAACACGATGAAGCGCAGCGTGAGCAGAGTGCCGCAAAGTCCCCAAGAGGTGCAGTACTGCTTGGCTGAGCCTGCTTTTCACCCGCATGAAGCTGTACAGACTGCACTTTGCTGCACTTGGCAGCACAGAGAAGCAAGCCTGACGGGCAACCTGTACAACTGAGCAAGGCTGCAGGCCCAGTCAGGGACATTGTCTTTGTCCAAAACAACCCTGGGGGCTGACCTACGAGGACCCCAGAGATCGGCGCCGTTCCCTTTGAAAGAACCGCCATGGTATCTCGTGGCCGAAGTACATTGCGCTGTACGACTGCCAAACTTTAACTGCGTTCAGGGTGTACAGAAACCGAACAACCCCTGCAGAAATCCACCGGTCAGGCAAGGTATGTCGATGTGCCTTCAGCACGACACCTTGGCTGGCATTTGAATGAGCAGCTCATGAGTTTGGGCCGCATGCCACAACTGACTCACGTTCCGGAGTTGTGCTGCAGGTAAGGCAGAGGATCGCAGAGATTTGCTACGACGCGGGTTGCCAGAATCTGTAACACTGCCAATCTGTTCGGGAAGCCTCGCAGGCCCGGTGGGGAGCTTCATCCAGACGTGGTTGCCCCAGCGTCCGTCTTCGGCTCCGGTGGCAGGTCGGTCACCTTCCATCCTCCTCGTTTGTGCATTCCTGCGGATGCAATGATGCAATGATTCAATAGTGCGAAACATACCATTTCGCTTCAGACATCTTTGTGGAAATCAGGTACCTTGAATCGATGAGGTGTGCAAAAGACGTGCATGTGAGTCAGGTGGCCGGCTGCAGCTTTGTTGCTACAAGCCTGTGCAGCCGTTTGCTCCGACATGGCTGTCTGCACACTGTGTCGTGCTCCTACAAGTAATGGCTTAGCTTAGGTTGCTACGAGTACGAACCACCTGTTTGACCAGACTTGGCCTCCCCAACCGTGAGCCTGAAACACTAAATGGCCCCAGATCCCACAATCCAAGCGAAGCCATCAGCAGGCCTGCATCAGGCGTGAGCAAGTCCGCCTGTCGTACATTGGAATGTATGAGAGATTGCTTTGGATTCACGGTCAAGGAAGCACTCGGCTTACGGAACAGTTGTGCCTTAGCGAGGCTGTGAAGCCACTCAGCAGTGACTGTCTTATCCTTGGAGTCGTTTTTGGAGGTCTTCGTGGTGGCGGTCCCCTCGAGGCAAATAACCTCCATGCGCAGGCCAGGTCTCACGTGTCTTGGGGACGGGCTTTGCAACCACAGATACCATAATCCGCCGACCCCGGCAAGCTGGGGCGGAGTGCCTGTGAAGTGCTTTTTCCGCTCTCGAGATGTGGACAGGAAGGCTCCACAGCGCACACGACTCTATTTTTTGCAAGCACCAAAGGCGAGATTACCGCTTCGCCCAAACCCTCGTCTCCGCAAACCCGACCCCTGCCCAAACCCCCATCCGAAATTCCATTCTTGTCGCGAAACGTGGCGAAGATCACCTCCTCAAAATATCTCTGGCGATTGGAAGGCGTTCACATGATCGTCCGCGAACGACACCCCTCTCGCGGGGCGCCGTGACGACTGGGGGGTGGGAGGTGTTCACATTTTCGTGCCGGCGCAACGGCGCACCGTGGCTGAAAGAGCAGCTGGCGAAAATAGGCGTCAATGTCTGTGGCACGTCGAGGTCGCATGGGTTTGAGGTCGAACTTTCGGTTTAGCGCTCGCGTCTTCAAGGTTCGTGCCGGAGTTTATCTTTTTCCTCATTCACAACTGTGCGATCCCATGACCCCCCCCCGCCATCCCCCACGCTGTTAAGCCAGCGCCCCAGGGAACGGCCGAGCTTCCTTCAGTGTGCTACTGTACGCCTGCTGCCTGCTGCCTGTCTGCTTGCCCTGCTCTGCGCCCGGAGCCTGGCGGCTTTTACGGGGTCGGCGGAAGCGGCGCTAGCCCCTTAGATAAGATGTTTGTGGAATCTGATGGAGACTGGAACCTGCTGTCGCTGCTTGTGGGTGCGATCCCAGCCTCTTCGAGCTCCTCCTTGTCCTTTGAGGCTCCTCAGCACTTCTGATGCGATGCTGCTCGGAGTGAGTCCCGTCAAGCCCCTCAAGAACCTTTCCCTTCAACAAGATGCATCGAGCGGAACCTCATGCAAGCTCGAAGTTCAAGAGCGCTCTTGAATACAGACATGCAAAGGAAAGAATCCCAAAATCCCTGGCGTTACGGCCCTAAAGCGCTCAAGTCAGGCTTCGCCGGTTCAGCCGCCAAGTGCCCGACGCTTCGATCGTCCTTTGCATGGAACGTCATCACGGCTCGTTGCTTTTAATGCTTCCGCCTCCCTTGAGGAACTGTCTGGCAGCTTACGTGAGTTTTCCGCCCTGCCACAATACGATTCATTAAAACGGTACCCCAACGAGCTTTCACTGAATGCTTTGAAAAGAGCTGGTCGTAGTTGAACCCGCACTCGGCATCGTGGCTGTGGTACTGCGCCCAGTAGCTGAAGATGCCACCTAACCAGCCGCATATTGGCTTTCATGCTAAGCAACAGACTCAAGGTTCGCAACTCCAAATCTTAACACATTCACGATGGACTATGATGTACTCCTACATGCACACTTCGCCGCCGATGCATGCATCATCATGTATCACCGAGTTCCGAGGCTTGACAGACACGTTGTTTGACATGGGAAAACGACATGCCTGCGTGAAGCTTCACGACGACGTCTGCCGAATCCTCCTCCATGCCGCCGCGGCGACCGTGAACCCAGAACTGCGGCGGCTGTGGGGGTTCAGGAGCCATGCGGAGGAAAGCTTCAGATACAGGCAGACGGGGTCACGCTTCGTTCGTCGCTTTGGTTTGAGGCGCTCGGTTGTGGGAATTGAAATTCCGCAGGGCCTACCTGGACTAAATGCTTTGAACGCAGGGGGACTTGCCTTTTTGAAGCTCTTGTTTGAGCACCAGCCAGGCTCAGCATTCCTCAGGAGGCGACAGGCAGATGCAAGAACTGAATGCCCAGGCCTGAAGCCTCATAAATAGGGCCTTCGCGGCTTTAGGGATGTAGGGAATGGTAGGGACGTAGGGGGCTTCTTCAGCGTCACCAAGGTGCACTCCAGCGATGATGCTTTGGTTTGCCAGCTCCCTTGCCGTGATCGTCTCCTGGCTTCCCCTTAAGAGATGCGGGCACATCGGAATGACACTCTAGATATCCTGGAACTGCCCTCCTGAGCCCGAAAAAATTGGGGGGGGGGGAGGGGGGGGGGATGTTTGGGAGAACGCTCCTGGAGTGGCTCTTGGCCGCCTTCTCCACGAGAGGGGAGGAAGAACAAAGAGGGCCTCAGGAGGGTCTCTGAGGGGAGAGTGATCTCTCGGTTAGAGACACTGTTAGACAGGCTCTTCAGGATTGTTCGTTCCTTTTTGCGCGGTTTTTTGGGGGGGTGAGTTTAGAGGCAAGGCCCCAGCATCTCGTCCCCCTTCAGCAGGCCCAGCTTCATGCCGATCTCCCGCTGCAGGGATCCCAGGCTCGCATCCTCAGAGGGCGTAGTGATCCTCGACCCTCGTGTCAGCGGATGGCAAACATCCGTCGAGCATCAAAGACACACACACACACACACACAACGCACCAAAAGAAAGGTAATCGCAGACTCGCATCCCCAGGGCAGGCGATGGAGGCGGCTGTGCCGCTCAGCAGGGACACCTGCAAGGGAGAAGACGGGGCAAGGCCTCCAAGGAGAATTAGGGAGTTTTGGGGGGGTGAAGGGGACTCACGAGGAATGAGAGAGGTCGAGAGCTGGTACCCTCGGCAAGCCATCCATTTTGTCTGGACTACTGACTGCCTAGAATTTGCCCACTTGCGTCTTCCGGCACCTGCTGGCTCATGATAAGCACTGAGGGATGCGCATGTGGCCTGCTGCTATAAGTAAAACAGCTACTATCTGGAACGAAGCTGAACGGCGGGAGTGGGGTCAACTTTACAACAGGTCAGGACCGCGATGCTCTGCCCGGCACCTCTAGTATAAGCTCTTGGAATGAACATAAGCGCACCCGGAGCGTGCAGGAGCGCACGAACGCGAACCCGTACGCCCACACAAAAGACGAAAAGACCCGAAACAAAGGCGCAAAAATACCGTATGCCGTGTATGCCGTACGCACCCGTGCCTGTGCGCCGTATGCGCCCGGGCGTGCTCCTGCTCCCCCCAGTGTGCACCCATGCACGCCCCTGCATGGCCGCCAATGCTTGCCCACACAACCTACATTTGAGTCGAATTCTCTGCGCCCACGTGTTTGTCACGGCCCCTGGACGTCTGTACATCCATCTGAACAACCGCTAGCACGCAGGTCAAGATCCAGTTCCCAGTACTTGCCGAGCATGCCCCGCTCGTTCACTGATTTGGTCGCCCCGTACCCTCAATGCAAGCATTGCGTGAGCTTGAGGGGTTGTTGACTCTTTGGGGGGTCTAGACTTTAGAGGAGTGTCACTGAGCTGGAAGACGAAGGCTGAGTTTTCACAAAGTGCGACCAGGGGGAAGCAGGTTGAGAAGATGCTTGCAGTGTGATGAGCATTTCCACCCCAGAGGTCCGAAGTCCACGTCAACACACACCACAGGTTCAACAAATGTGCAAGGAGGTCGAATGAGCCGGCCACGAAAAGGCACAAAACCCAAAACAAACGGTGTCAAAGAGAGATCCGGCTGGGATTGCCCGGGTCTGCGGCCTGACAGCCCGACAGTGCTAGGGACCTGCCTCAAAGGTAACTTCCGCAGCCGTGTCATCAGCCATTGCTCGAAACTAGGGGTAGACCCGCTTGGCGCACGAAGCCGAAAGCACTGGTGCAATCAACATCTTCACTCTAAGCTACATCCCAGCGGCTGCTTCTTTCCAAACACTGTGCTTCGCACCCAAGCGCAACGGCTCTTGCAGGTCTCACATGCGCTGGGTTCTGAGTGAAGGACCCCTTGCCCGTGTAGTTGTTGCCAGAGGTCACCTGCGGCCCTGCCATGGAGGCGTAGAGACCTCGCACCAAAAAGCTATAAGAACACACCAAGATACACACCCAAAAAGACATCCAAGAAATTTGGGACAAGGATTCGGAATTGGAACCCTGGGCTCTGGACTGACATAGTTATCGTAGTCTGATTTGGCCCACCATACCTCTGCACGCGGTGGAAGGGCGAAGATGGATGCGGAACCTTGCTACATCTGTGCTCTTGCGTCGAAGTAGTAGTGGAAGCCGCAGAAACTGTTCATTGCACGATGCGAGGACAGGCAGCCGCAAGGGCCAGAGAACCACCCCGGAACTGCGGGCACTGTTTCAGGTACTTGTTGAAGTCCGCAGCTTTCCCTGCAGTCCGTTCTGTACCCATCTAGCAATATGTAGGCACTTATCGGATCTCGTGGCCTTGCAGTTCTAGGCATGTGAAAACATGATAAGGTAATCAGTAAGAAGAATATATACTTGATTGTAATGATGATCCTAATGATAATAATCATATATATATATATATGCTACCCACCCCCCCCCCCATAGGCCCACGTTTTCGCGTGTCTTAGCGTGTTTTACACACAAAAAAGCATAATTTACTACTTCTTTTGCTGCCCAGATTCCTTCTCATTTTAACAGGATTCCTATGAATTATAACCGGTTCTTTTTAATTTTGTTAAGGGTTCCTATTCATTTTGATAGGTTCCCTATTGACTTTTATCGGTTCCAAAAAATTTGGCAGGATTCCTACGAATTCAATAGAGGATTCCTATTTATTTTCATAGGATTCCAACAAAGTTTCATAGGGTCCCTGATTATTCTAATGTACTAAGATTCCTATCAATTTTAGGGTTCTTATTCATATTAATGGGATTCGTATTAATTTGAATAGGGATCTCATTCGTTTGAAAAGGATTCCTATTGGTTTAGGCTCATATTCATTTAGTAGGATTCCTATTATAATTCTTGTTAAAGGAATCTTATTCCTTCATAGGAGTCCTAGTACTTCCTATTATTAATCTTAGTAAGAAACCTTCTCAGTCTAGTAGGAGTCCTATGAATTACCAAGCGTTCTTTTTGATTTGTTAAGGGTTCCTTTTCATTCTAATCGGCTTCCTATCAGCTTTTATCCGAATAAAATTTGATATGATTCGTATGATTTCAATGAAAGGTTCCTCCTACTTATTATCATAGGATTCCAATAAAGTTTCATAGGGTTCCTAAATACTTTTCATATGGCTCCTACTCATGCAACAAGATTCCTATCAATTTCAGGGCTCTTCTCATGTTAATGGGATTCGTATTCATGTTTAATAGGGATCTCATTCATTTAAAAGGGATTCCTATGGGTTTAGGCTCATACTAATTTTAGTAGGATTCTTATTATTTAAGGGTTCACACTTTTTATAGGAGTCCCATTGGTACACCTGGAAGGCCTGAAGTGCGGTACTGTCCCAATCTTTTTGGGACAGTGAAGCAAAAACGCTGTACTGTCCCAAAAAACTCAATAAAAACAATCTTTTGAGGGTTTCCAGGTCAAAGATTGGGACAGTACGGTGTTTTTGCATGACTGGACCCAAAAACATTGGGACAGTACAGCGTTTTCTGCACCTGGAGGGCCTGAAGTGCTGTACTGTCCCAATCTTTTTGAAACAGAGAACCCAAAAACATTGGGACAGTGCAGTGTTTTCGACACCTGGAGGGCCTGAAGTGCTGTACTGTCCCAATCTTTCAGAAAAGCAAAAACCCTGTACTGTCCCAATCTTTGAGCTGGAGACCCTCAAAAGATTTTTTGGTTTTTTTGGGACAGTACAGCGTTTTTGCTTCTCTGAGCCTAAAAGATTGGGACGGTACAGCGTTTTTGCATGCCTCGACCCAAAAACATTGGGACAGTACAGCATTTTTGCATGCATGGACCCAAAAACATTGGACAGTGCAGCGTTTTCTGCACCTGGAGAGCTTGAAGTGCTGTACTGTCCCAATCTTTTTGGGACACAGACGCAAAAACACTGTACTGTCCCAGTCTTTGAGCTGGAGACCCTGAAAAGATTGTTTTTTTTGGGGGGGGGGGGACAGTACAGCGTTTTTACTCGTCTGAGACTAAAAGATTGGGACAGTACAGCGTTTTTGCAGTTTCTATTTGCCCTGGGAGGCCCTTAAACCCTAAACCCCTAAACCCTCCGGTGTAGCCAGGGCACCTGAGGCAGGCAAAACTATAGGAAAAGTGTGGGCCTATGGGGGGGGGGGGGTACCATATATACATATATATTTATATGTATATATATATATATATATTTCATACTATCATGATGATTATGAATATCACCTCATACCGTAAAGTATCGAGGAAGGACAGCGACATGAATACAGCAGTAATACAGCAAATGCTGGTGACATCTGAGGGCAGGACCAATCCACCCATGGCGGCAGATTCCGGAGGACACACTACGAAAGCCGAAGTCGTGCAGCCTGAAGCTGCTCCAGCTACGGAAAACCGAACAATTCCCAAGACTCTCTCGTCTAGCTCTTGTGCTGATGCGACAATGGAGGTTGGGTCGGGGCCGTCGAAGCCCCCCCAGACACCGCAAGTTCCAGTATGTGTGTGTGTGTGTATGCCTTGCCAGAAGATTCTTGCAGAAGTTCTGAGCCTGAACTGCGGGCCGCCGCCAAGCTGTGCTTCGCCAAGGCTCCCGAGCTCGGCACTCCCCTCCCCCAAAAAAAAAAAGGCGGAGCATGCACAGGCCAGCCGATAGCCGAAGATCTCCCTAAGTGATGGCTTGGTTCCACGGCTCCGTACTTGTTCCTTCCACTCGCGTTCGCGAGAGCAATCGACTGTCGTGAGAAACACGACGCAAACAAATTCAACATCAGAAGGGCCAGGGTCCGGCAATGCTCCTGAAACTACCGCTGTTCTTCTACGATGCTGACCCCTAAACCTTGCTGTGTGACCCGTTTGGGTGCACGGCCACCACTTGCTCTGACTCAAAATCTCGCCGTCTGGCGAGGACAGATGGCAGAGCTGCAAAGCCTGCGGCTTCTGGGAAAAAGCCGCGATCAGTATGCACGTAGCTGCGCAGCCGAGCGGGCGGGACAACAGCAGGAAGGTTGCACATGAAAATCTTTGCCTTGTCTAGGGCATCGTTGGCGCACACCCAACGGCACCCTTCCTGCTTCTCAGCTATCGACCTACATATCCTACATTTCGCGAGCTACAGACTTCTCATTCATGAGGGCCTAAACGCTCAGCTTCTGCCCTGCAGCAGGCAACATCACGTCCGCCGTGCCTGTCATTGAGGCCAAGGAAACACATGAAACACCACCCGGCAGCCCTGTCATGGCCTGTCTTGCCGCATTGCACTGCTTGTGTCTACTCTGCTCACTGCTGCCATGCTGTACCCTTCCTTCGTGATTCTCTCGTCTCGTTCTGCACAGCTCTGGTTTAGCTGTGATCTGCACATGACTTGCAAAGCATGCTATTCAGTGTGCGCCTCCAGCTATTTCATAGCTGGCACTGACATGACCCGAGCCAGGGTCTTTCCTGCAACTTCAGGCATGGAACAGGCATGGAACTCAATGCAAGGCAAGTCTTCTCTGCAAAGAGGTGGCTCTCGCTGTTCCCGCGACTGAGTTGCATTGAGTTGCAAGTGACTGAGTGGGGGAGGGAGAGGATGAATGCAGCCAAGATTGTGAGCCTTGCCACACCACATAATCCACAAGTCATGCACGCAAGAGCACGCAGAGCTAAGCCCTTTTTCTGAACTTCCCCCCTGCTTTCAATGCAGGTCCTGTCTGCGAAGCTTCAGGGTTCACCTCCAAAGGGCACCTGGGGGGTCAAAGCAGCTCATGCTCAGCAGCCTTCATATGTAAAAGGGTGCCCAGCACTCATTCTTCGGTCCTTCGGTAGGAACTTCCAATTTTGGTGCTGAGCTTCGCGGCATATGATCGCAAGAGAAACGGTTATACTTCGGCATCTGCAAGGGAGGACGGTCTGGTGTCACCTGCCAAAGCCGGTAAGCCTTTGATCATGCGAACACCATGAACACCAAGCCAAGAAAACCGAACTTTGCCTCCACAACCGGCATGACAAACTGCGGAGGCCCATATCTCTCCTGGAGCACAGGTGCAAGACTCTGCAAGACTCTGCAAGACCCATCACACCACCCGATAAGACTGAAGAATCTGAAACCGACTGAAGGCAGCATTAACAAATACCTGACCTGCCATGAGCCATGAAAACTCTAGTCCTTGGTGTCCTCGCCTACGAAGCGGCTCATCGAGCCCTGCAACTCCTGCAGCATTGTAAAGTTTCCATTGGTCCAAGCCTGGGATTCCTCGATAGTCCGGGGATGACGCTTCTATTATGTTTTTTTTTTTTGGGGTGGGGGGGGGGGGGTTCTTAAGCAACTACTTAGTTGCGGGGGGCACAGGTTGCACCTCGCCAGTCGGCTTCTGCTTGCGGACGCTGATGTACGAAGCGTTCTTGACCTGCAGATGCAGGAGCCAGCTGTTTGATCCCTTTGGCAGCGTTGAAGCTCGTTGTCACCCACGTTGCTTGCGTAGCCCGGCCATGCATACTCTACTCAGCAGGATGTAATCTTGGGGGGAGGTAGGGCAACCGCAGGGTAACGGGTATGCCCTCAGATGCCCAGCTTTCCAACAAAAGCAGATGGAAGCAGAGGACAGTCACGGAACAAGCTGGAAGAGGTGCACAAAGTGCAGGTGCAGCGACATCCCGAAGAGCTATGCAGATGCTCTGGAGAAAAACAGTCTGCCTCCGCACCTCACTGTGTGGAGCTGGGATCTCACAGACTAAGGATGCGACCACTTCGAAGCCATGGAGTTGCGACAACAGCTGCTGGCCTCAGAAAACTCAGGGCACCATACAATTCAATTGTCGCCTTTTTTATGTCGGCAACCCCTCAACTCTGCGAGCGTTGCCGGCCGTCGATGCAAATCTGCCAAAGGCAAAACAGAAAACTCTGACCAAGCTTCCGACGCGGCTTGGCCGGGTTCAGCTTGCGATGCCGCACGTAGTCGTGCTCGCCTCATGTCGGTGCAGCACGTCTCTCGAAAAGCTCTTCCAACATCGCGTTTCTCGAGGCTCTCGCTGTTGCAGAAGGCTTTCCAAATACACTCGGCGGAGACGCGGTCGATTGAAGCCGGAATGCCTCATCGTCGGCACGCAAGCACAAACTGTGACTCACATCATTACGTTGTTGCTGCGCTGAGATTGCGCGCGCGCGCGCCGATAAAATCGAGTTTCCAAAAACAACATAAGCCCTTACCTCGATAATAGACCCGGAAGTTGCTTCAACTTAGAACGGCGCAGCTCCACCTGAGGGTTGTCGACAGACATCGGCTGAAGACTAAACCCCTTTGTGCTGAACAAGCCCAGGTATCGTTTTGGAGGGCTTTTGGGACAATTGCAGGGTTTGGGGTTTGTGGTCCTTCCTAAACCCTAGCACATGTCACCGTTTGGGGCTCGAGGGCCTTGGGATGGTGGCTTCGGCATTGTGGGCCCAAGGACCCCCCCCCTGGGTTTGCTCACCCTTACATGTGGCAAAGCATACTGTGTCGTATCTGATGCTCTGGTGTGTCCACGTTTCTCTGAGCTTGCGAACTTCATGGAAGGTCAATGGGCGCCCGTCAAGCCTCCTATGAGTTTTTTGGACTCTTACTTCGTTGTTGTCTGGGCGACGAGGTGGTTAGTGTCGATCAATGTTGGTCTGCGGGACCAGCAACGCATTGTAAAGTGGCGTTCCTGTGCACCATCAGTACGGTTGCATGACATCTTCACGCGTGCGGGCCGGAACGGAAACCGCCCAGGGCCGTAGCCGAAACTGCATAACAGGAGAAGCACGAAGACCGTAACACCAACCAGGAGCCATGCAACAGAAACCAAGCACCCGCCGTAACGAAAACCCGCTCCAAACCCTAAACCCTAAACACCCGGGCTGTTAGCCGTTACAATCCAATCCAGTTGTCGTTATAGGCCTCCCTGGTTTCCTGTGACGGGTGGCAGCCTTTCCTGCGTTATCAAGCGAATGGTTTCGGTCGTGAAGATGGATGCAGTGCGGTTGCAACATGCAGCCTGGTGTGAGTTTGGCGAAGCTGCGAAGGTTCAATCAATCTGCGCGGCTCCTGGCAGCTGCCAGCAATTTCCTACAGTTTTGAAAAAGAACTTGTGACCGATGGCATTGTAGCGTGGAGCAGTCAAACCCGCCAGATCTATGTGGTTGCCAGCAAAGTGCTGGTGCGCACTTCTTATCACTAGTTGCTCCCTCCGAAGACTCGCCTGGAGCGTCGGCAGACACATGCATAACCCCCTAAACTCCCACCTGAACCCCCCCTAGAGCCCTATGAAACTCCTCCCGAAAAACCCGGCCGGGAAGAACCCCCTAAACACCCCCCTAAATCCCCGCCTCAACCCCCCCCTGAACCCCCCCCCTAAGACACTCCCCCCCTCCTCCCCCGCGCCCCCCCAAAAAAAAATCGACACAATCCCAGGCCTGGCAGCTGCCCCCGCGTCGTGGACGTCGGCTTGGCCTCGCCCATGATTTCCTCGCACACGGGAAAGCATGTGGGGGGCTTCCGGTTGCCGATAAGAGGGGGTACCCTCCTTGGGGTCCAAGGGGGATTCTATTATCTGCACCCAATGATATGGCAATCGGATTGGCAGCACACCGGAGGCACAGTTCTTGTCATATATGGAAACATGCGGAGAGGGAGAGGGAGAGGGAGAGGGAGAGGGAGAGGGAGAGGGAGAGGGAGAGGGAGAGGGAGAGGGAGAGGGAGAGGGAGAGCAAAAAAAACCCAATCCAGACATATTAGACGTCATATTAGATGCCTTCGATGCACTGATTGGACGACGGACCAGGGATGCACAACTGCACAACACAAAAAGGCACGGAAACTGCAGTGCCGAGTCAAGTCGTTTGTGAAGTCCTGGAGCAACCACCGAGAAGTCTGCAGGATCGTGAAGGAAACTTCTTGGGCCAAGTTGCAGCGCCCGAGCATCCGAAGCAGATTATGAAAATTATGTACTCGGCTCGCCGATCGAAAAAGCACGCCCTAAACAGTTGAAAATGGGAAGCTTGATCTTTGTTTCGTAAGTTTTTTGTGCGTGCTTGTTGGAAGGCAGCCTAACTGCCCAAGCGGGAAGTGTGGGACCACAGCGCATGCAGCATGACGTGAAACCAAGATCCGCAAGTCTTTTCAACGATCGGAAAGAGCAACCAAGAAGCTGTCACCCGAAGGAATTTCAGCCGGAAACTCAACTTCCCGAAATAGTTCAGACAACCCTAACTCTGACATCAACTAGGGACGCTGAGAACGCACCCGCGCAAAAATGCCGTCCCGATGTGGTTTTTGAGCCGCAACATCCTTGTTTGTAACATGCTGCAACACATCTAGATTCCAAATGACAAGCCCACACGCCAAACTTTGCTGCACTGCGTCGCTTGCGCAGCATGTTATTCACAGCACCCGTGGCTTTGTCAATACAGTTAACATTCCCCCAAACAAGCCAGCTACTCACGCAAAATCAAACAGTCTCCCACTAGTCTCCAAGACTTCCCAGATGTCGGGAGTGCGTGCAGGAGCAAGTGGTCGTCAATCTTCGAAGGTAATTTGATACACTCGGTCACCCGGCCCATCAACATTAACATTGGCTGCTACCTTTTGCCTTCGCCGTCTCCGACTTTCCGAAACTCAAAGATGGCAACCTGACATGGGCGACAGCGCGCAGGAAGTGCAGACATCAGACGTCGTGGACTGAAAAGTCTCGGGGGTGCCTCGCCCGCCGCAGCCTCCACGGACTCGATGAGGCAAAGGCCCACTGCGGCTGCATGACGTTGGATCGCGGCCACCTGCCATCTGCCAACGGAACGTCATGGAACGTTGTTAGGTCAGTGGAGTGCCAATCAGATTGGCAAGAGTGCCAATCTAAATGCATCACTTTGCACCGCTTCATGCAACATTGCATACCGCCGCAGAGCTGTCTGCAAACTCTGCCCTGAGCGGCTCCAACGCTTGCGCCGCGAATGGTGTTGGCAAGAACCTGGAAAGCCGCGGACGCACCATCAACATGATTCACGCTTGCTATCACAGTCACTTGCTACACCTGAGTCCCACGGCCAGACGCCCACCCGGCCGCAAGGCGCAAGCAGCTGCATTGAAGAGACTGAAGCCAGGGATTTCATACCTTGGGCCACCCCCTGTTTCGAACCGACCCTGGTTCCCAAAGTCACTAACGCTGATTCAGAGTGGATAATTTCGAACGCATGATTCAAAAATCAACCCACTTCGGTAAACCCAGTGCTGCCTCGGATTCTGTCAAACGTTGTAGAAGCAGGGATTGATTGCTTCCAAAGCAGGACGCATCCTAGTAGCTGATACGAGGTACTTTACGAGTTCGACCGTTGCAAACGCACTTTCCCTTGCCAAACACAAACCACCTGCGCAAACGGTCAGTGAAACCATCTTGAATATCCGCAACTGGGAAGGCCAATGCCGAGAATTAACCTCCACTGTTTTTGGAAACCCCTGCTTGGATAGCAAACGCTATCTTCACACATCCCTGACATGCCCGAATCGGCATCTGGAAAACTCGCTGCGAGCAAGCGGCAGGATGTCCTTGAATGCAACGCATCTCTGGCAGTGAGCTGCAGGCGTGCTTGCTACAGAGCTGGGCATAAGAGGACTTGGGGCCCGTGATCCTGTGATCCCGACTTCGGGCGGGGTGCCGAACCAATCACCAGGTCGAAGCCTGCCAGCCACAGAGGTTCCTCCTGCATTCGGCTCATGGCTTAGATGGGCTGGGTTTAGGGCCGCTGTACAGGGCTTCGCATCGAGCGAGGGCTCCCATGAGATGTTTTGGGTTCTGCTGCCCTGTGTGACCCAGAACGGATCTGTGCTCACGAAGGGGACACAGCTGATGCACCACTAGCTGCAATAGGCATACAGGCCTCCCAGCGAAGTGCTTTGACGTCCGCCCGGCCTGCAAACAGCATGTCCCGTCGTGACGATCTCTTGAATACTTGTCTTGACCCCGCACCTTGCAGGCTGTTCAAATCCACGTTCAATTGCAGAAGCCGCAGGACTCCTGCCCAACACAAGCCTTGAAGCCTATCCTGCCACATGCTGCATCTTCACAAAACTCACCAGGAGAAAAAGACTCAGGATACGTTGACATCCTGACATAGTTTGAGATGTGGAACTTTGCCTTGCATCAGGGATTTGGGATGTGACCCTTCCCTGGCTCCTCGACATGGTTTTCAGGTGGGCACGGCGGGCAAGGCACTGCCCGAAGGTGCGAAGGTCACAACAGCATTGACTCCGAAACCTTCGGCTCTGCAGAGCTTCTCCTGGATGACAGTCTGTCAGGGTCACGTGTGCCCCGGACGCGGCCAGCCACAAGCCAGGAAGCCCCATCCCAGAGCCTGAGCACCGGTGCGGAGGTGCCGCTGACACCGTCAACATTGCAAATTCAGGGCCAATGAGGCCCTGTAACGCGCGGGTAAAGCGCTTACAGTGCTGGCCGCCCCAGGCAAACTATTTCAAGCACCAAGGCACCCAGCTCCAGCGCTCTGCCCACGAATGCCTCCCTGGAGAGGCGCCAGCAGAGCGCAGGCACCTGAGCTGGCCCTTCTGGGACTCTGCGACCCAGGAGGGCGCCTCACTCTGTTCCCGTTCTTTCAACTGCCAAGGAACGGTGTCGAAAACGCAGGCGCACATGCTGTTCCTTAGCAAAGTGCAAGCCTTGAACGGCTCGCGTGGGTCAATCTCCCTCAACACAATTTCAAACGATGGGCTGCCACGTTTCAGGATGCCATCATCGTTGAAGTCTTCCGGCAGCAACTTGGAGACTTCGGATACTTCCTGCAATTCGCTGGGCTCAACTGACTGAGGCCTAGCAAGCGGCGTAGACGCGCATGTACACACCCGGCCTCCATTTCGAAAGGCACATCTGCCTGGGAATCCGAGTCGAGATTTTTAACTTTTGAGCGGCGTGTAGTCAATTCTGAAGAAGGCGCCGACCTGTCGCGCCGCCGCCCAAAACAGCAATTCTCGTCCAGCCAACGTCGCGCGGTGCACGGCCTCTCAGCAGGAGATTGTCGGGAGCGGCATAAGGGTGTTAAGCGGTCAAAAGGCTTCTTACTGCTTGGGTGCTCTTTCAGAGTGAGAGGTCTCCAAGGTTGCTCAAATGGACTTCATCAAAACGCGCTAAGGGCACAGGTGGCTCAGGGTTGCACAACAGGTTGCCACATTGCAGGAATCTCCTGACGCCCTAGGCTTCGGGCCACTGGCATCTCGCAGAAGTTGAAGGACTCCATCGAATCCATGATTGCACGAAGTGCTCGACTCCCGAGCACATTCTTGAAAAGCGCTGTCTGAAGGCCGGCAGATCCAGCCTAGCTCCTACCTAGACCTTCAGGTGTGCTCGGCTACCCACTGCGGCTTTCGATTCGCGGCTGAGATGCTGTGGAAGCTAGGCACCAGCAACATGAGCCACTCCTTCCCTTGACAAGTAGAAAACGGTTTTTGACGCCAGTGGCTGGGCCCGTGATGCCATCAAGTCTCGAGGGCCATGAACGGCCATGTCTTACAATCCTGGATCCAGGAACAGCTGTCCAGGATCTTGTCATGCCCCTGATGGAACGTGTAGCAGTGTAGGGCCGGCATATACAACGCACGTGGCATCTGCCAAGGGCGGACGTAAACCACACCACCGCATGCGGCCACCCGCAAGGGCATTACCGGTTTCAAGCTGCAGAAGAACTTCTTTTCCGCGGGCGAGAGCTAGTCTTAGGCTAGCCTCTGAATTATGTGGAGGCCACGGCTGCCAGCCAGCACGTCGCTGAACTCGTTTGCCTTGGGCTGCTTCCGGCCGTCTCTCAAAAAAAACATACGGAGGTTGTTTTTCTCTGGATGGTCCACTCAGTCTCCCTTTGTCATTTGTTCTTGCACTGCTGTGAACCGAACGAGTGCTGCATTCTAGCTGCACATTCGGACTTGCGGGCGTGTGCAGCTGTGGTCGCTCAGCATTTTCTCATTCGGTGCTTTGGGAGGCACGTTCAGGGCGACAGCTCAACCCGGTTGCTGGCTGGATGTCGATCGGCAATTGGTAGGAACTTTCCGTGCAAAGAAAATGGGCTTCATGCACGTAAATACGACCATGACATGTGATCCTCATTGTCAATGCAGCTGGGGTTCGTTGAGGGCGAAGATCGCCTCGTCCAAGACCGCCTCTGTCTGCCCCTTGGCCTCAGGAGACGAGACTTGCGCAGACTTGCGCAAGCAAGCGCCACCTGCGGCCTGCGGCCTGCGCAAAGCCACGTTGCGCTCGCCAAGAGGAAGGCCGAGGATGGAACCAGCCAGCCCAAATCTCCGCAGAGTTGCCCCGGTTGGTCACCGCTTTGACAGTCGGAGAGCTCCCTGCATTGGACTTCAGAGAGGAGAGCATAGGGAAGCACTCCTCAAAGACTTGAGGCAAGCTCGCAGGCAGCGGCCTGCACAGCTTTGGAAACTGGTTCCTTAGGCACGAACTGAACAAGCCACAGAAGAAGCCCAAGACAGTCTACGAAGACTCGAATGCTGTCGGTCAGGGGGGCCGGCGGTTGCGGGGCCCCGGGGCCCCGGGGCCCGTTCAGGGCTTCTAACCATGGGGCGCTCTCTGCCGCCAAGGCACGGGGTTTTCAGCAAAGTTTCCAGCGTCTTCAAAGCCAACTCCTCAGCCTCTTGCAAGGATCGGCCCGCGTCTCGCCGCAGCATCGGGTCCGCCTCTGTGGGGTTGAGATGGGTTGAGGGTTTAGGGTTTAGGGAGTTTAGGGTTTGGTGGGGGGTGGGGGGGGGGGCAAACCCTAGTTAAGGCTCACGGAAGTTTCCCAGACTTTCCCCCCACATCCACAAATTGCATCCACCGGCTGTTCTCACCCGTTCTCATGTACCTGGCGGACTTGCTGGTGGCGGAGAAGGATGTGCCGCACCTCAGTACTTCCGCAACAGCTCGGCATGGCTCGGCTCTTGTCTCTGTATTTGAGAGCACCAGGGGGACAGATCTAAGCACGAAAAAAGGCTTAAGGGTCCTGCGTCTCTAGTGATATATTTGCTTTTCTTAGTGCTGGATCACGGGCATGCACAGGCATGTGCCCTGTCCTGCACGGTTGGTTGGGGAAAATGGAACCCCTTCCAGGAGACGAACCCTGAACTCAATTCCTGGAGATCTCCCCTTCATTCCTGGGCCGTGCACACGGACAGTGTCGGAGCTGCCCGTCTTCTGGCGCTTGGCAGCAGGAGCTTCCGCCTCGCACGAATGCCGCGTGCGGATCTCGAGGCGAGGTATGGGAGGTCTTCAGGTACCCGTTCTGAGGGCTCCCACCAAAATAAACGGACTGTAGAAGTACGAGTATCCTTGTTCTGGGAACGCCATGAAGCCATGAAGTACCCCATATTCTTTTCCAGCGGCGAGTTGCCCCTGCCATGCCATGCGGGCCCTGCCTTGCCAGACCGCCTCACGCTGATGCAAACCTTGGTCGCAAAACCGTCCCATCTGACTGCATGCTATATCCATCAAACATCAGCACATATTCATATTCCATTATGCCATATTCCATACAGGAAAGTAAGGAAGGCCGTGAACAGCTGCATCAGAACAGACACGAACAGGACAGAGAGCACTCACAGGAGACAGCGTAGAGAAACAGCACGAAGCTTCAGAGCAAGAAAGTCATGCTGGTTCCGCCAGGAAGAATGCCAATGAGATTCAGGAGGGGAGTCAAGCAGAGGTCCGAATCTGCTCGCTGAGGTACCGAAGCACTGGATGCATTCGACGCGGGTGCGGACGCCGGGCTGGCATCGGACAGCGCGTTGAAAACCAAGACGGAGGCTTTTGGCCTGCAAAGTGCCCCAGTGGCAGCTGCTTATGCTTCACGAGTCTGGGGAGGGATGCTTCCTTGCCTGTACGTTCTGCGTCGCGCTACAGCCCTTGCCTAAAGTGCCATCTGCCTTCTGGCATGTGCTGCTGCCGCGCGAGTTAGGCTCTGGTCGTCGAGAGCAGCCGTGGCACCGCCTGCAGGCACTTTCGGCGCCCACTTCCCGTCCCTGGGTCAATGCCAGAAAGCATGTCTTAATCCACAAAAACCCGCATCGCTTTGTATCATTGCAAGCGTTCCGTCATTCCTTCTTTACAAGCTTACACTGGAACGCAAGGCATAACGCGCTCAAAACGTTTGATGGAATTCAGAGGACTCCTTTTCACTAGATCACCAAAGGCTTTGAGGTCGATGCTGAAGAAGCGCCCCCAAAAGCCCTAGGAGCCATCAGTCACTACGCGCCGACTACCCCAGAACTTAGAGCGTGACTTGTTGGACGCATGAGCAAAAACTGTCGTCCGGGGAATGTCGGGCTGCAGGGACAAGCACGGCATTACGGCATTACGGCCAACCAGGGACCGCACAGAGTAGGGCGAAGCGCACGGATGCATTCGTCGACAGCATGTAGCTCACAGACTTTGGCTCCATCAGCACCACCGGGCGAGGAAAGCGCAAGTCCCGGAGGCCTCAGCTCAGGCAGGAGGCGCAGCGCACAGGTTAATGTAGCTCGAGAATGCTCAATGCGCCCCGAAGCTGGGATTCACCCCCGAAAGGGGCCCCCCAACTTGCCTCTCGTCTGCTTGTTTGTGTTCTTTTTTCGGCATAAGCTTCCAAGGCGCCCAAGGCGCGGCTGCAGGCGGCGCCCTCCCGGAGCAGCGCCTCGCTGCGGGGGAGCGCCTCGGCGGCCACGGGCCGCGCCAAGGTCCGCACCGCCTCGTCGCCTTTGGTGGGGAGGGGATTTCAGCCAGGATCTGGGAGTGAACTCAGGTGTTGAAGCTTGTTTAGTCTTCATGGTGTTCAACATTGTTCAACGAAACCTATAGAATGCATCTGCGAGGTCCGGGCAGATGGCTTCGGCTTGGCGGAAGTCCGGCGCGACCACCTCCCAGCTGCAAAGATCGTCTCTGATGCTCTGGGTTGTCAGATCCTTCAGATCCTCACTGAGGATATAGAATCATATAGACAGTACAAGGCGGTCTTAACGTCTGATGGCCTCACCTCCAGCTAATCCCTTCCTCGTGGATGTCCCATGGTCCACACTCCTTCCTTCCTCGTTCGCCCTAAACCGAACGTAGTCTCCACTTTTCGATAATTTAGTGCTTCTTGCGTTCCTTACGTGTACCACCCTCCTTCAAACCGGAACAATTTTTGGCTAAGTCTTGGAGATGGATTTCACGGCTACCCTGAAGTCCGGAAGCTGGCCTTGAAGGCACCCCCCCTTTCAGCGTGGAATGTGCGATGCAGTCTGCCGTCTGTGTGTGGGTGCGCACCGTGTGCAAGAGGAAGAGGTCAACCCTTTGGCCTCCAGTTTCGCGATCTTTCTTTTCAGCTCTTTTGCAGCCCGCTCAGCTTCTTTCGCCTCAAGCTTCACGAAACAAGGCGCTCAGCCAACGGACTGCAGAACCTGCCCGAGCCCATCTACACGAGCTCAACATGCCCTGCTTCGGTCAGGGCACTACCTCCTCGATGATGATGGAATCCTGAGTTTGACTAAGTGATCGTCAGAGCATGACAATGGTCTCCAACAACCAGCTCCCATTGCCACCACACAGTGCTTCCGAAACGTGACCAGTTGTTGAAGCTGGTTCAAAATGCTGGCTCAGACTCGGTAGCAGCGGCCTTGTCCACGCCAAGTAAGGTTGCAGCCCCAGCGCGGGTGGAAACCTGGTACACGCATCGCCTCCACCCCTTGTCTAAGCATGCCAGACATCGATCATCATACCATTCTGCACAAAGCCATACACGGCTGAAGTGCGCTAAACATGTACTTTACTTTGTCAGTACTTGCTGGCGCAACAACATGGCTGTGAAAGACTCCCACCTCGGCATGAAGCACCCGGCGAAGTTCGCGGCAGGACTCGAGGTCCTGCGGAGCAGGAGAGGCACCACACTGAACAAGCACTGAACAAGCTGCACGAACTTGACAAACTTGTCTTCCAGCCTCTGCCATCATGGCCTCAAGCTTTTCTCGGGACCTGGGGAAGCATCCAAGCAAGCTCTGACAGCCCTGGCGCCCAACCAGAACTGCTAGGAATGGCGATAGCACTGTTCACAGCAAGCAGTCAAGCAATGTTGCAGCTTGATTAGGCTGCTGTACACACCGGAAAGCGCCCAGAAAGAAAACAAAACTCATGGCTGCGATCGCTCATTCCTCGTATTTGATCCAGTGGCTCTTCCAAGCGCGCGAAGGCCAAGCCAAACGCTCTCCTGATGGTTTATGGTTTGGCAAGATTGTAGCTAAAGTTCTGAAGCATCCTAACAGTATGGGCTGAAGAAGGCTCGCAACGTGTGATGTTGGGTCTCTGTCGGGCCAACAGCGTATCAACCTGTTCACGTTCGGCACAGCTGGCACCATCCGCAGGCTCCTGTCAGCGTCGCACTCGGCCCCAGTCTGCTTGTCCGGGTGCACCCGCAGCGCCCAACGCCGGTAGGCGGCTTTCACCTGGCAACCAAGTGCAACCAACACACACTTGGCAAAACACAACTTGCTTCTGCGCATTGCTGAGATGCACAGCAGAACGGAGTGGACTGTGCAGTTTGCTATTGCCCATACCGTGCCTGCTTCTCATCCAGCTCCTCGCTGTCTGCAAGCAGCGCGTCAAACCTCAAGCATGCAAAACGCCTCACCACTGACGTGGCAATCTCAAAGCAAAAGTATTACACTACGCAACCCCGATTCTAGCTTTTAACTCGTGAAAAACTCTAGTTCGAGCGAAGATGAAGGATTGCTTTGAAAACCAAGAGAACGCCCTTGAACCGGGATGGTATTGGTTGCAAGGGAGTGCGCTTGCATTCCGGGGTCAAACCTAGCCTAGCAGCCTCAAATCCTGGTAGCTGTCTTTGAGCGGTAGGGGCTGAGCTGCTAGTAACGTATCCTGAGGCAGGCGGCACGTTGGGTGCACAGAGTATGCGGTGGACGTCGTCCAGTTGCTCTGGCTGCTGATGGTACAGGAGGCCGCCATTCACCTGAGTTGGCAGATGAAGTGCTTGCTGCGGACAGCTGCGAACAACTTCGGTGGACATCGGTGGGGCGCCCGACCATGCCGCCAGCCTTCCAGAAGCGCTGCTGCTCCTCTGGGTCCTCCAGGCTGCCAGCCTTCTCCAGAAAAAATTCAGACGAGACCTCCAAAGAAAAACGCAGAGAAACATAGGCTGCCAGCCTTCTCCAGGAGAGGCGTGGCACTGGCGGCCTGCGATTTGAGTTGGGGAAGTCCCTGGAAGTCCGAGACCTTTGCAGCCGGAGCATCGACAATGGCCTGGCCCTCCCCCTCCAGCAGCACCACACGGCAGTCGCCCACACCGGTGATGACCAGGCGGTTTCCTAAACTTGAGAGGGCGGGTCCATGCGAGTCCCGACCGAAAAGTGACACGGCGATTCAGGATTCGTCAGACCGAGGTGCCCAGCAGCAACGCCAGCAGTGCAGAGCAACCGCCTCTGCCGCACTACTCCAAGTCGTTCCCCCATGCTCATGTGCTCATGTATGATAATGAACTGAAGGCTGCGGGCTTCATGCCGTGTGATGTTACGTCACTCTGTGTCACCGAATAACGCTGCAAGCATAGTCAAAAGCTCATCTCCACTCCAGTGGGCCAACCATCTCTCTATCTGCATGTGGATCTGAACGGCAATTCTGGGAAAGGGTCAGCCGCCCAAGTGAGGGGTCGTGGTAGAAGTAGTGAGTTCAGTCTACTCTATCTATCTTCCCGAATCGCACGCCGACATCTCGTGCTGCTTGGCCCAAAAAGAATCAAGAGGTCTACAACAGTCAGCAACTGCCCTAGCATGCCGTAGCGTGCCAAAGGCGCTGTATGGGCTGCACGCCGATCCGGTACCTGAAGCCAACGGACAGGTGCTGGTTAGCCCTGGCTGGCCAGCTTTTAGACTGGGCCCTCAACCGGTCAGCAGCTCGCTGTCGAGGTCCCGCAGCGTGGCCTCAGAGAGCAAAAGACCCGAACACCCCTTTGTCTCCGGTTCTTCAGGGTCGTTCCTTCATGTTCCCCCCTGTTCCGGCCTCCAGCACTGACTGCAAATCCTGGCACGCAAGGTCGCATCAGGGAACGCCTGGCTTTCCTTTCCACCCCACCACCGGCGCTCCGATAACAGCCCGCCTCCGTCGTGAAGACGTGGATCTTCTCGGCAAGTCGCGGAAGAAGCTTCTTGTGAAAGTTCCTCGGAAGGAATCTGAGAGCATCACGCAATCCAAGCACCATGAACCGGAGCAGGGGACCAGTTGCGGAGGCCGCCAAGGCCTGGGAACATTGTGGCCAAGGCACTCCGCGCACCACTGTGCCGCGTCGGCGTTGCGCACGCCGTAGAAGAGGGCCTGAAGGTGAAGCGGTCTCGCGCATTGGGCCGTTGACACCATGATGCTTAGATCTTCTTGAGGCAAGACATCCTGGCGCCGCCATCAACTGCATGGACCGCTGCTTTGGAAGAAGTCTTGCCGAGATGCGAAGGCACTGGCAGGGCGGTCTACGAAACTCAGCGGCAGCTTCAAGGCCAGCCGCGCGATTTTCGTCACCTGCAAGGTGAAAGGCGACGGGCCCGTGTCCGGAGAGCTTTGTAGGACTCAGAAAATTTCGCAGACTGAAGGTCTTTTTTGAGCTGCCCAGCTCATTTTCTCTCCTACTGCTTCCTACCGCTTTCACTGCCCTTTACTTCTCCGAGGGCCCGACATCGTTCAGGATCACAGCACGGTCCAGTTTGGTGCCACGGCCTGCAAAGATGCCACTGTGATGCTGTGCGACATCGTACCTTGTCTGTTAGCCGAGGTGCGAGAGCTTGAGGCACTGCCTGCACGAACGAGGAGCTCGTACTCCTGCGACAGCCCGTTGTCAGCTAAGGCAAAGCCGGAAGAAGAGAGTCCATCGGCCGAAAAACAGACGAGTTCCCCACCCTCCTGCACTACGCTATCCCCCACACTCACCCTGCTCCATCCTAATGGTTTTTTGGGTTCTGCCTTGTAGGCCTAGGTCTAAAACGTTGACCATAGAGCACAAGTGACACAGCAAAGAAGCCTCATGATGCCTCGAATTTCTGGATCCTGCAAACTTTTCTCCGAGGTTAACCTGAATATCAGACGCTTTGGTAGTTGTTGGGGAGCTGCCACATGTTCTTTGGCTTCAGCTGTTAGCGGTATGGATATAGGAGAACGTGTTTGCTCCGCTGTCCCCGGCACTGTGCGCACCCAAACTGGCACCGACGGAAGTCCAGCTAAGCGGAACCATGCAGGCACGGGAAGGTTCATGGTGTGCCCTGGCCTTCCTCCCGACTAACCCCAGCACAAACCTCTAGCTCTGGAGACACATCCGCTTCACGCACATGCTTGACCCACCAAGACGTTCATGCTCAGATGCCTCCGAACTTGAAGACTGTTCATACTTTGTACACAAAGACGTGTTTCTCTGCGGAATCTCAGCGCTGGCATGCCAGAGTTGCTCCGCTGCATTGCATTCCGTGGCCCTTGTGCTCAGAGGGTCTGGTACTGTTGCCATTGATTGCTCACAAGAGGGTGTGAATCGTGAGAACGTTTCGGCGCCAAAAGCCTTGTTTCACGAGCGATGTCTACTGCTTCTGGTTCGCTTTTCTGCGAGATCCTGTCGTGAACATGAAAGCAGTACGTACAGTAGGGGGCGTCAATGTGAAGATTCGTTTGAAAACAACTCCCGAAAAAAGTGAACACGGGTGTGGTGAAGCTGCCCCCCCAAAAAGGGTATCGAAGTTCATGGTGTCGGGTCATGATCGGAACTTGTTCTTGTCCTGAGTTTGATGGCTTGCTTGCTTGGCCCAAGAAAAAAAGCAGGTGTCGCACATTCTTCGTGTCCGTCCTGCGGAGTGTGTGGCGGATCGATATCCTCCCACTCCGAGCCGGTGCCTCGTCGGACATAGCGCCCTGCCTCAAGAAGGGGTAGGGTTTAGGGTTCAGGCTTCAGGCTTCAGGGTTTAGGGTTTTCGGTTTGGGGTGGCTTCTGCAGCTTCGATTCAAAGCTTCGGAGAGTTGGCCTTGTCACCCGTCTGGAAGAAGAACACCTGGCCTCAGAGAAGCAACAAAAACCGGGAGAGAAACAAGGATGTAAACAAGGAGGAGGCTCTCTGCGAGAGAGGGAGGGAGGGGGAGGGAGGGAGGGAGGGAGAGAGCTCCCAGAGGGGAGAGCGCCCTTCTCGCTTTTGCTGAATCCGCCGAGGCGGTGGCTCTGGGGATGCACGAGCCTCAGAGCCAAAAAAAGCCAAATGGGTTTAGGGTTTAGGGTTTAGGGTTTAGGGTTTAGGGTTTAGGGTTTAGGGTTTAGGGTTTAGGGCTAAGGGTTATGGGTTTAGGGTTTAGGGTTGAGGGTTTAGGGTTTAGGGTTTAGGGTTTAGGGCGTCGGGAGTAGTCCGGGAGTAGGGTGTGGGGTGTAGGGTGTAGGGTGTAGGTTTTAGGGTTTAGGGTTTAAGGTTTAGGGTTTAGGGTTTAGGGTGAGGAGTTGCGAGAGAAAGACGGGCAGCAAAGTATATCTGCACAGCAACTTGGGCCGAGTGGCATTGTCGGGCTGTGCCTCGTCCAGCCTTCACCAGGCGGCACCAGCGCCTCCTGTTTAGGGCTTAGGGTTTAGGGTTTAGGGCTTAGGGCTTAGGGTTTAGGGTTTCGGGTTTAGGATGGTTTTAGGGCTTTGCTACCCGGATGCCCGGCATACGCGGCACCTTTGCAACACCATCTTCTTCCGAGTGGGAGTCCGCGCCTCCTTGCTTAGCAGCTCCTGGTTGTCCCGGAAGCCTCCGACAAGAGGCTGTGGTGTGAAGGACCAAAGAAATAATTTAGTATCATACTATATTGGATGAGATGATGTTATATTATCATAAAAAGTATAGTACTATAACAATACAATACCATAATGGCAACATATTCTTATATTGGCTTGAACAGGTGCGCCGAGCTTGATGAGCCGCGGATCCGCCCCCGAGCATCAGACCAGGGAGAGGGTGGTTGGTGTAGAGGTCCTTTTCGTCGACGCTCGCCAACCTCAGGGGGTATCTGAACGTGGGAAACATGGCTGGTGCGACATGGCAGGTATGCCCACATGAATTCCCAAGTGGCTGCTGCGGCGTCCAGCGCGTCTTCTTCAGCTTCAGGCACACCTTGTTGCCACGCAGCTCGGTTCCCCATTCCACGTTGCAAGTAACACAAAGAAACCCCAAGCAACAGCGTCAACCTGAAGAGCATGAAAGAGTCTCCACATGTCTCAACATCAACGTGTAGTAAAACGAGATTCTGCCGTGTTTTGCCTTGATTATTCCGAAAATTGCTATTTACTCCTAGCCGGTTCAAGCTCCTCCGCGACCAAGAGTCAGATCGCGCTCCAGCCTCAGGCGAGCAAAGACGGAAGGAGGTTGGCACATAGCTTCTTGTCAGGCCTCGCCCTCTGCCAAAAACTTCTTGCCAAGTTCCATTCCGTCCTCACACGGATTTGGGGTACGGGTCACGAGCTGTCACTTCAGGATCCAGTTCGGAAAGCCGAAGCCGGACTGGCTCCTGGTGGCATCTAAACCTTGCTAAACCTTGCTCGAAGCGCAGACCCTGAGGCTTGTCCTTGATGGCTTCTTTGCGGACTGCCCGAGGCGGCCCCTCCAAGTTCACTGCCTTCATGTAGGGCACCTGCTGCAAGACTCGCACATCCGCCGCAGGCAAGGATGCCATCACCGAACAATCCCAGCAACGGCTGGAAAGCGCAGTTCTCTTTGTGCACCTTGATGTTGCATGTGAGCAAAGCATTGAACGACTTTGTCACATGCTCCTCCCGCAAGGATTTGCTGAGGCACATCGTTCTTGGTCTGAAGACGTTCTGCCTTCGCCTGACCCCTTATTTTGCTGCAGCTGACCCTTCTAACAAAACACAGAAGGATAGCCAACCTAAGCGAAGCTACAACTACTGCTGATAAGAGATTGTCGCTGTCGCACACTCCACTTGCCGCGTCCTTGACCACCACGTTCAGGACATGGAAGTCTCCTTCGAATAACTAAAGGGCAACCGTTGAAGGAATGACAGGCTTTCCCGCTTCAAAGTCACAACACTCCCATGCGCGCATCATGCACATCATGCGCTACCCGAGTACCCTTTGCCCTGATCCTGAGACGGGCTTGCAGGCAGGGTGGATGTTCGCCATGCCGACACATTTGAAGATCAGGGGCGCAACACGGCGAGGAGTGTGACATGGGAGTGCTTGGGACCGTCGCTCTGTGGGGGTGTATGCCGGTGTATGGCAGTGTGTGGGGTGGGGAGCTACCAGCCGAAAGCTTTGCCTGTACTGGGTTGTCATGGCCTATGGGTTGACGAAATCGTATGCCTGGGGTTGCCAACGTGAAAGGGGGAGCTTGCGTGAGTGAAGATGCAGAGTTGGGACTGAAAAGCCCATGGTTGGCTGGCTTGAGCTGGAAAAGAGGTTAGCAACATGCCATGCAGATTTGTGTGGAAAGCACGTGCGAAACATGGCTCTAGAAAGTCACGACACCGAACGCCCCAACTTTGCCCCTTCTGCGGCCGCATTCTTAAACATGACAGCGGTCAAGCTGTGAAGCGAGTGGGAGAGGCGTGGGAGAGGCAGGATCTGACCCTTTTTGAAGCTATGCGTGATCTGCGTGAGCTGCTTGAGCTGGGGCAGCGCCATGCTGGGCTATCACGCTGTGCCCGGCGTGCGCGAAGGTGGCACAAACTCCTGGAAGGTGGACTGGTCTCAAGCAAGCGCAATGACAGGCACACACATGCCCTCCCTGGCTAAGAAGCTGTTCGACGTGCTGCCTTGCCACTGATGAGTCGGCGCTTCTCCTGTCACAGGCGGTGCTGCCATGTGCTGCCACATGCTGCCGCATGCTTCCAATCCCACGGCTATCCAGGTCCCTCACGTCAGCGACTTGCATGTTTGGTCAAGCACAGCAAGTTTGATGCTGCCACTTTTCTATTCGCGGCCTGTTGTCCTGTTTTCGACACGCGTCGAAGGTTGCAGAAGGCTCATGTCAGCTAGGTACGCATCAGAAACTGATAGGGCTCAGCGACAGCTCACCAAGAGTCACCACACCGGCCAGAGTTTTCATGAGGGCTTCTCCGGACTACCCCTCCCGGTCTCACTGCTGAAGTGCGGAGCTGGCGGCCTCTTATAGACCAAAAGATGCACACGATCACACAAAACATCTCACACTCCCATTCTCTGCCTCCTTTTGCACGAACTGTGCGACTGAGTCGTCCGGTGGGGTGAAGACCACGAAAGGGGCTACAATCAGCAGCACACCAACCTAGGCACCCAAGCAGAACACGCAAACGGCGAGCAACGAGATTTGGGTTGCACGCAGGACGGTTGACCTCTTACACACCATCATTTGCACTCCTGCATGAGTGCGCCCCATCATGCAGCCGAGTCTAGCGCAATGATGACAATGATCTCCCCTTGGCTGAAGCTCTAGGCTCAGAAGACAGCGACACAACAGGTCATGACAGTACTTCAACAGTATGTCAGAATGGAGCTTGTGCTCCACGGGTTCTTGCAGGGGTGGAGAGGTTGCTTTATTCGGCTTCCACAGCAAAGCTGCCAGGGCCCTGCGGTGACGATGGTTGCGGTGTGGGCGCATCCGTAGGTTTCTCCTACAAGACTAACCCCAATACAGCCACATCAATAGTTGGAGGCGTCACAGCCGGCAAGCGGCACGAACTGTGAACTGAGCCACGCAGGCATGAGGCCCTAGAGGTGTTTTCTCCTGGCCCTGCAAGAACTGCATGGACACAGCAGGTGCACGTGATCGCAGGGAAGCCTGGACGGCAGCAGTGTCGTCATTTCTCGAAATTGAAAAGACAACCTACCCACCTTTCCTGCTCATGTCCATGCATTGGGTCATGGCCTGCTTTGTGGACGCAGTTGGTGCCACGAAAGCTTGGAGACAACTTCGCCCGACCAACATTGCTGCAACCTCGATTACGGCTGCATCAGCCACTGCATGTCACTGTCATATTATAGCATCATGGAACCCTCTTGAGAAAGGGGTTGCTCGAGTCTGTTTGATGGCTGGGGAGGTGACGCACAAAAGTAGCGTCGTCAATACTCGTGAGGCCATGGCTGCACCTGACAGGCGCTCAACACACGGAGTTTCCTGAAAGGAACGTCGCATCTATCTCAGAGAGTTGGTGTGTATGTTGGGTGGCCGTTGTAAGGCCAGGGCGGTTGAGAGGATTCAAAAGCCTGGGATGCCCGCGCCAGTGCCCTGCTATAGAGCCCTTCCCGCTGCAGCCCGAAAATTTGCCGGCGCAGATCAGCATTCAAGACCAAAGCATTCCACAATGACAGGGGTCTGCGTCGGTTGCTCAGCTCACCTTGCATGAGACACTAGCAGAACGTGGTCCTGCGCCCGTCGTCGACGACCCTTGCTGATCTGCTGCTGCCAGTGATCTAATCGCTTCCGCAACCTGCATGCTGCACGATGCTGCACGATGCTGCAGGGCAACAAGCCATGTGAATCCCTGCGCGTCGTCAATATAGGGCTGTAACGGGCGGTTTGGGGCAGGGCCTATGATAGCCCATGTTTCATGCGTGCTGCTCTTCCCGGGCCTAGAGTGAAGGTAGCTCTTCGTGTGCTTCCTGCCAGCGCCAGTAGGAGTCTGATATCATCTGTGTTATGCTGAGGCTGCTGAGGCCCGGGCAGGTGGAAGAGGAAGAAGTTTCGAAACGTCATGACCTTTGCTCAAATTTGAGCATAGGTGGAACTTCCGGCCATCCGTGTTGAGGAACTGCAAGGACCGGGCAGGGCGCGCAAGTGCCCACAGACGCTCCTAGCGGCACAATCATACGTAGAGGAGGCGCACGCGCAGTCCGAAGAATGCGAAGAAAGAATTCACCAAAACATCCTTGGAAGACATACCAAGACATTTGGTGGACGTTCTCCACTTCATCGAAATCCTCATAATCTACTGTTTGGGCTTACTAATCCTTGTGGTGTTACCACAATCAGTGGTTAGGACGATAGTGAATCATAGGCACTGCAATGATTCCTGCTTGCTGGCCGTTCGCCTGTCTGCATTCACTGCTTGCTGCATGATCTGGTTTGCCTGTTGTCAGCTTTGTTCTGGAAAACAACTCGGTGGGAGAAAACAGATTGCTGCCTCGATATGTAGCACTATATATATATATATGGTACGTGAACGCAGGGCCTTTCTGAAATTGGTTGACGCTTAGCCAACATGGCACTAAACTGCAAGTACCAACCGCACTAACAACCAAGTGGGCAAGCGGTCCCTCCTCCGTGGCTCCTCGCACATGCCTTAACTGCACAACAGCGCTTCCTGACTGTGCATGCAACTCATGTACAGAACGCGCGAACAGCACGAGGCTTTGACTGGTCCGTCAGTGTCAGGGTCAGCCAGCCCACGTTGGGGGTTGCGCTGACGTTCAGGCCTGCTGATCGTGGCACCGGCACTCCCCTCCAAGCTCTACGGATACACTACCATTATCCGTCGAGGCCTCGGGCCGGAGGTGTCTAGGTTTTGAGAACAGGCACCAAATCCCCCCCCCCAAACCCAGAGCCACACGTCGACCCCCTTTGTTTGCCTGGAATGGGTACCGCCCGTAGGCGACCGAGATCCGAAAGCGGACGGTTTGCCGGGACCAGGGAGGTTGGGCTCACGCTGTAGGGTCTGACACCAAAAATATCCCTCCACCCCCCCCCCCACCCCACCCGCCCACCCCCCTTTCGGGTTTAATCCCCTCCCCAAATAGCTTGAGCCTTTGATGTGGGAGCCCTTTACCCGCAGGCCACCCCTCCCCACTGCCCCCTGGTTTGGGTTGCCGTGTTACAGAGGCTCAGGCGGAGGCGGGTCGCGTAGCGTTCTCAAATTACTACCACATGAATATTACTACCAGTATCATTGATCCACATGATTCTTTTTGTTACTGCTATCACTATTACTCTTACGAGCATTATTAGTATGATTATTCTGATGATTATTATTACTATTGCTACTACTAACAACTATTATTATTACTGTTATTATGAATATTAATTCTTACCGCATGTATTCTTACACTCATGTATTACTACCATGTTATTCATACATTATGATTACGACATACTGCAACACTAGTTGGTAGCATTACTATACCATGGCGCCAGCCTCGCAAGTTGCTCAGCATGTCCTTGTCTTTGGCCTCGTGGAAGGAACACCTTGAAAACTAATTCATTCAGGGCTCAGGGTTCAGGGTTTAGAGTTTAGGGTTGTTTAGGGTTTAGGGTTGAGGATTCAGGGTTCAGGGTTCCGTGCAGCTGTTTTACCATGGGCCTCCGCCCAACGCACTTTGGCAAGTTAGTGGAGACATTCTGGTCAACGTCCAGCCCACATTGGAGCTGGGAATGCATTAACATCGCGGATCAGACATGCTGAGAAAGCTGGTGACAGGTTGATCCGACGCTGGAGAATGATTGCGCCAAATACGCAGTCACGCCAACCTAAGATTCCAGGAAGCATGCGGCACATCATTTTGTCCTGCGAAGTTGCCGGACGTGTTTTGAGGCTCTGCTGCCATGCTGCGGTGTCAATGATGGCACCAGCGCAGAGTGTGTTGCTGACGTCCTTTAGAGTCGGATTGGGTTTCCAGAGGACAAAAAAAGCCGCTAGAATGTCGGTTCCGCTCCTTGTCAAGCGCAGCAGGGCAGCCTGCTACCGTCAGGGCAATGGTGCTGCCAAGAAAGGCTGCAGCTCCAATAACGCCGCTCACGTCCACCGTGCAGGACACCCTTGGAGCTTGAGAGGCCAACAGAGTTTAGGGTTTGGGGTTTAGGGCTTGGGGCTTAGGGAAACTTTGTCGGACTGTATCCGCAGACCTGGGAGGATACTCAAGCCAAGAGTCTTCCCCGCTTCGCCTGCACTGGCAAAATTTTCCTCTGTACAATCCAGGGTCGCCTGCAAGTCACGTGAATTGGTTCAATGGCAGGCGAGACAGTCAACAGATCTCCGAAATTCGCTCACTTCGGGCCTGGGTGATACTCGTGCCGACACGGGCTGCCCAAAACGCGGCATGACCTTGGAATCGCCGAGGTGCACTGACGTCATAAGTAGCACGGCTGTGAGTGCAATGCTATGCACTGCTTGTCTCCTGCGAGATGTGTGCTGCTCAGATCATGTGAAGATGCTAGTGCTGATGACAGCTCATGAAAGCCAGATGGCCCACGTCAAAGAAGCAGGTTGCTTTTAGTGCGTTCCTGATGTCCTTGCACAGGCCACCAGTGCATGCTGCGCTCGCTATGTGCCGAACTAAATGTGACTCTGAACTCACATGACTTCTGGCGGCATACTTGCTCCGCAGTTCCCTGTCGGCCTCATCCTTGTGCTTTTGCTTGATCTCCTCAATGATGTCCAGCGTGCTCGCTTCGCGCTCGAGGACAGGGTTCGGCGCAAGCTTCTGCACGTCCATCGGTTCTGCAGGGTGAATACGAGAGGAATGACAGTGCGACAACTCATCGCAGTTGCATTCGCCTTCCAAACTGGAAACATTCTGACATGGGCGAGCGCCTAAGCGTCGTCCTCCGACGCTCCTTGGCGGGATGTAGCTCTAGAACCGGTCCCGAAGTCTTCTTGACAGCGGCCAGACAAATGCAGCCGAAGCTTCGCCAGTGATGGAAGCCCGGCATTGCCTTATCTTCTGCCCCGTTGCGAGTGGAAGCACGTCAAAAGAACCGAAAGAGCATGATGAAGGGAACCAAAGGAGCATGAATAAATTGTCTGAACAGCTGAGTTGGCACACCATTGCACAGGCACGGACAGAATGAATGAGTCCAAGCAGCCTGCTGGGCAGTTCAGCACCATAGCACTGATGGAGGACGAAAGAAACGCCCAGGCGCCGAGGTTCACTGATAAGTCAGTGGCACAGGCCTCAGAGGAGCCGGAACAAGCTTGAGGGACTGAAGGTTCAAGGTTGAGGGATTTAAGGCAAGTTTAGGGCTAGTGGCCCCGCGCACTGCTCTTCGAAGCTGGCGTTTAGCACCCACAAGCCCCAAACCTAGAACCGACACTCTAGAATCCTCAGCCGCCTAAGCCCAAGAAACCCTCAAGCTCGAAATGTCGACGAGCAGCTGCTTGAAGGTTCAATGTTCCTGCACACTGCGAGATGGCATCCGTCGCAAAGCTGACGGCCCACACAATGCCCTCACAATCAGCAAACAGGGGCTTCAAAAGGTTTCTGTTTCAGGGTTGTTTAGCGGGTTTTGGTGTAAGGGGGCCTTTAGCGGAGGCAATGCTAGGCAATGCCAGGCTTTCCAACTGCATGTGAGGCACGGCGATCGCGTAGGAAACTGCGACGCTGCAAGCCTCCGCGGTTGGGCTTAGGAAAGCCCTTGTTTGCGGACATGCGCTACAAGGCATCAGCACAAGGCTGTTTGGGGCTGCCACCTGCTTGTCAACGTCACCTCTTGGACGGTTGCACAGCTTCAACAAAACCCCGGCGGAAAGCAGATTGGGTCGAACTTACGGCCTTCTGACTTGTGGGAAGCCCAGCCACGGGTGCTGGTGCAGGGGACATTTTGCATTGTAGGGCTGGGCTTGTAAAGATTCCAAGCCGATAGGCTCGGCACTAAGACTTGATGTTCAAGAGAACTTTTCCTGGAGACTGAAAGCTGTGTCAAATTGCAGTCTTGAAAGCTGCGTCTATCTGCAACCCAGGCGCTCACGTTGGGACCAGTGATGCAGTTCAGTGATGCAGCATTGATTGCCAGCAAACCTTGGCCCAACTGGAAGACTGTCTGGCCGACGTCGACGACACATACCTCAGTCTCAAGGCACTGCATTAGCATGAACATGAGGGCAGAGTACGGGAAGCGAAAGTGGCACCTGTTAGGCACCTATTGTGCCCAGCTGCTGCTATCCCCACGTTGGCTGCTGGATCGTACTCCTTCCCTGTCAAGACCTAAGTGCTTCAATGCTTCCGCAACATCCAAAAAGGTGAGAACCATAAACAAGGGCCTCTCTCAGCGGCTGGAGGCCCGCAGCCTGCAGTTTGCGCTGCACCTGTGCATTTCTCATTTTCGAAACAACCACGAAATATCAAGCGCAACACATGCGAGGGGTGGTCGCCAGCAACACATGTGCGCTCTTGATTGAGCCGGCTGCCGACTGAAGAAAGTCTTCGCTGGAGTTCTGGAAGCCTAAAGAAGTCAAAATGTTCTGCTCCGGATCGAGAGCGGCAGCCAAAGACATCCTCAGAGGTTGCGGGAGGGTCGCGTGACGTTCATGTTTCTTGATCCTGAAGCCCCAGCAAGGATCGCAGGAAGCCTCCATCCCTGCGAACCCCTTGAAACTCAAAAGCTCTCAACCTTGATTCAACCTTTGGCCCGCAAACTCCGTAAACTCTCCATCCCACGAGCGAACTGGATTTGCGCATGCTGGGAACAGATCTACCAGGGCACGCACATGAAAGTGCATTCTTCCATTTTTCTCGGGATTTTCTAGGAACCCGCACAGCCCGTGCAAGTACATGCGTTTTGCACGGGATAACCAACGGGGGGGGGGCAGAATTCCAGAAACTTTGCCACGTCAACTGTGGCCTCTCGTTTGGCTGACTCTCGACCCCAAGGATTGCTGACTGCGGCGTTGCTCAAGCTCTAAACCCTAAACCCTAAACCCTAAATCCGAAACTCTAAGCCCTAAACCCAATTTCAGAAACGGCCGGCAGAGGCTGTCTTTGCATCTCGCACTCAAGGAACCCGATGAAAGAATGTGCGGTCGATATAAGAAGGAAGGCACAGAGCTTTCCCCCGTTGTCCAGTTCGTTCAGCTCCCTTCCTTCGCCTTTCTGCGCACTACCCGATTAGCCACTCTAGCAAAGAACTCTCCCTGAGCTGCCACCAAGTCTCAACCCCTGAACATCGGGAAGCGCGACCGGCTCCGTGCCACGCTCCAAGTCGGAGTTTGGCGCAAGGTGCCTCGAGCTCTTCAGCACGTGGCCGCACAGAAGACAGTCCGCTGGTCAACCACTTTGCTGCCATCACCACAATTGTGTGTGTGCTCCCTGCCTCCACCCCACCAGTAGCGTGGCAGAAAGCAACACCGGAAGTGCTAGCAGCATACTTCTCCATCGTTTCTTCCATGCCTTGATACACGGAACCAAAGATGTTGGAAACCCTTGCTAATCCTAGCATTGCAGCCTGTCTCACGCAATTTCTCAACATCACATCGGCCTGCACCACCACAGTGCTCCTTTCCGATGCTTCTGGAGGCAGCAGCTCGGCAGCTTCATGGACATGCTGCTCCATCAGTTGACATCTAGAAGGCAAGCTTGAGTCCACTCCGCATAAGCTTGTCTGCTGTAATGGCTGCAGCTACTAGAGCATGTAGTCGTATGAGTAAATCAAATGCCAATCTGTGCAGCTATTGCGATGCTTCCTGTCGCTTGCTTAGTGCTCGTCGTACCCCGAGTCATCTTCTCAGCCCTCTGCTCAACAGCACAGATACTTGCAGCCAACTGACGCAGGTCAGTGCACAAGCCCTTACCCAGTGGCAGCTGCAGAGCGCAGAAGCATCCAACAGGTACTGCCAGGACATGTGATGGACGGGCTCTTCCCACGAGTCTTCAATGTGTCATCGCAGGTCGAAGATAGTAATTAGGCAAGCTATGCCACTTCACCATCGGTCTTCATGCCACCTCATTGGAACGCACGATGTTGAAAGCAGGATAGCAGCGGCATGATGTTGTTTCTCGGCTTTGTATTTCAACCAAAGCCGAGCTGCTCAGCACAGCCTTTGCTGTCTGCAGTGCTTCGATTTCCTCGGTGCAAAGTCCATGGAGAATTACGAACAGTCGAATAGCGACCAGTAACCCGAGTGCCCTTCATTTGGCCTACTGACTACTGCTCGGGCCTCTGAGCGGGCATCTTGCCGCAACTCAAAGTTGGCCACGAGGAATTCGCACTCCTTGAAAACAATCCACGCATGTTTTTAAAGGCATTGTTTACAAGACACAGCCTTCATCACTGGCCTCCTTCAATGCAGACTTCTTCGCTGAAAGGTCCTCCAGCTCTTGACCCAGCCTCTTGACCTGACCCGCATAACACGCCATACTCTGCACAGCACACTCAAAGGTGTAGCGCGGAAAGATGACCCCGACTCATTCCTGCCCGGCCTCTTTCTTCATTTCCAAGGCGTTCGACTTCGCCTCCGATTTCTGCACATCGAGGTCCACCAGACCCTGCTCCTCACGAAGCAAGTGAAGCTTCACACAGAAGGTAAGCTCTGAAAGATACTGCATCTGAACACACACAACAAACGGAGGTTCAGACTGTTCCATACTGTTCCCTTCACTCTCTGAGGCCCCAGTTCAAGAAGCACTCTTCGGACCGAACCCAGAGTCCTTTGTGGCAATGGCAGCCAGCGCATCAGCTTTGAACTGCTCATAGTCCGCAAGGGACGCATTGAGGTCTGCCTCGGCTGGTGGAGAGACTCCACAAACCAAGTTCCACCTGGAGATTTCGAGGTGCCGAACCTGCAACGATCTTGCCTGAGCAATGCACCCTCGCTTTGGTCTCCATGACCTTGGCATCGCCGATGATCTGGTGCAGCATGGAAATGACGCCCACGGAGTTTTGGCGTTGGTAGTCTTTCAGCCCTTCGGGCTTCTCCTTTCGCACACAATGGACACGCGGTACAGGAGCTGAGGGCTGTTTAGGTTACAGTCATTCGCAGTGTGCCGAAAGCGGGTTCGCTTGCAAAACATCATGAGCCTGCAGCAGGCTTGCTCCGTAGACACCGTGCAGCACGTCAGCCGCACGCGTCAGGAGCCTTCAAAGCCAGTGCAGAACAAGCTTAGGTGCTCTCGTTTCCCCTTGCAATCTGTATACACATACTTATTTATACAGATAATATGTTGTGTGTGAGGCATCAGATGCAATCCAAACTTGTGTCGATCGGGGACTTGTTGGGTCTGCAGGAGTGCTTCCGATTCTTACCTGAATGAAGAGCCGAAGCACCCTAGGCGGTAAAGATTCGACGGCAGGGTCGAGCTTCGTGCGAAAGCTGCAACACGGGGCCTAAGAGCCCAAAGCATCCACTGAAAAGAACCTTCAATGGAGCAGAGCAGGTTTCAAGAGAGCAAGAAGCCAAAAAAACTGTCAAAGTCGTGATATCTCAAAGCCACACGCACAAAATAATAGACGGGAAGCCAAGAAGCCGTCACAGAAGCCTGAAAGAGAAGGCCGATGGAAGCCTGAAAGCCTCAAAGCCCCACGAAACCAAATGCCCACGCCATCCCCGGCTCCCCTCCCCCCCCCCCTTAAAGAAACAAAAAATAAACTACAAAAAATGAGAATTTTTGCAATTTCTACAGAAACCAAATCTACAAACTTAACCCTCCATTCCAACTGCCGGTCTGCCCTCACCTCTGTGTCCGGACCTGGTCGCTGATCATGGCATGAGACCTTGACGGCGCGAAACTTCACAAAGCAACAGCCAGTCATGACCAAACCGGCAGGACAAGAATGCTGGGCTACCCGCTCGTTTTGCCTCAGCTCCATGTCGGTCTTGGCCGTCTTCAGCTCAGACTTCAGGTCCGCAATCTCTGCGGAGAGCGTTTTGGCTGAGGCATCGGTCGTTGCCACCAGGTCCTACGAGCATAACAGGGACCGCTGCAACACAACGGAACACGACCTGCGAGCATGCTCTTCCCAAGTCGTTTCCAGCGTTTGATGCCACCACTTGGGTGCACTACAATGGACACCATATCTGGTATCTGGCCTGAAGACCAACCAGCTTGCTGTCACTTTGAGTCTTGGCAACTGTCGATTGGTCCGTATCCTCAACTTGAACGTGCAAGGACCAGAAAAACATGATAATAAAATGAACAGACATTAAGAAACATGACAACGTTGCTGGCTTCTTCAAAGACAGCGCCCATCGAGGCTCTTTCAAGCCAAGGCTCCAGGGTGTTCTCGTGAAGGCGCTGGACGCAAGAGTCCTTGCTCTTCACCTCGTCCTACATTCCAACAGCATGGATCCGGCACTGTGTGTGTGTGTGTATGTATGTGTGTGTGTGTATGTGTGTGTATGTGTGTGTGTAAGCGTGTAAGTGTGTATGTGTGTGTACGTGTGTATGTGTGTGTGTGTGTGTATGTGTGTGTAAGCGTGTAAGTGTGTATGTGTGTGTATGTGTGTATGCGTGTATGTGTGTATATGTGTGCGTATGTGTGCGTGTGTGTGCGTGTGTGTGTGTGTGTGTGTGTGTGTGTGTGTGTAGGCGTGTGTGTGTGTGTGTGTGTGTGTGTGTGTGTGTGTGTAGGTGTGCG